CCGATCGCGCAAACTGGGTTACCATTCCATTCTCACATATTAAAAAAACAGGACAGTGCAAAGCCAGCATATACTGATAGGTATACCTATGATGGACGGTAGTAGGATGATATGATTTCGGATACCAGTGAGAGATGAAAAGTGAAGTTAAAGCAAATCCGTTGAGCCCCATTGTGAAGAGTTCCACAAGAATTAACCACGAGACCACTAGAGGAAGACTTTGTACAAAAGTCGATTGCTTGGGTACCTCTGGCCTATTCGTGTTTCTACCGTGAAGCAGTTGTGTTTGCATGGCTGTGTTTCGGTTTGAAGGGTGAGATATGGCGTGAATTTACAGGGTACAGAGGAATAACACCTGAGTCCTCAGGAATGGCAACGCATGGGGGGTATCATGGGCGAAACAGTATACTCTGTTATGTCAGATGGGCCGTCAGCTTGTTTGCCATTCTAAGTTGTATAAAAAAAAAAACCACGAGGGCTTCCAGAAGGAACGAGCGTGGAGATCGACCCGACAGGGTATATTACTAATAATGGGCTATTAGACCCCATTACTAACAACTCCATTCCCCCAACCATTTCATGTTATCCCATTAAAATATTAGGATTCCACTAAAGCCAGTATCAGAGATATAAAATAAGTAACACATCTGAGGCCAATACAAACTAGATATAGAAACATATATCTATCTTCACGCCATCACTCCTACGGGGCTCCACTTTTGTTTTCATCTAAAACACGAATGAGACCGAAATCCGGCATCCTTGTCAGACATTATACACTCTCCGTGTGGTAAGTAAACATCCTTTGAATCAGGTAGTTTCGAACGTTATTGATTGATCGTGTACTAGGCATATTAGTTATTCAATATTCAATAATTCATGTAGCGGCCTACTCAATTACAGCCAAGCTATAACAATAGTACACAGTCATTGTTTTATTAGACCACTATTCCCCAACTCAGCTATACTGTTCAATAAACCTTACTAATGTTAAACGTGAAAGTGAGTTTGCTAAATGCCTCTTGGCACCTTGGCTCAGTCAATAATCATGTAATTTAACATATCAGACAAATACGTACCAGAGGGAGACTTTGTACAAAAGTCGTTTGCTTAGGCACCTCTATCCCATTCGTGTTTCTACCGTGAAGCAGTTGTTTGCATGGCTGTGTTTCGGTTTGAAGGGTGGGATATGGCAGTGAATTTACAGGGTACTGAGGAATAACATTCGAGTCCTCTGGAATGGCAACTCATGTCTATAGACGACGGCTACCACTTTCCATCAGATGGATCGTTAGGTTGTTTTTGCCATTCTAATTTGCATAAATAAATAAAAAAAACAATATATGGCATCGAATGAAAAATGATACTAGCTACACCTTAACATATAAAACTCCCATGTCACGATGTTTGTTCTCTAATCGCTGAAACTTGAGATTGAACGCGTATGGACTAAATTTCTAAAATGTAGTTTTAATTATGTAATCGAAATAATTTTGAAATTTAGTTCAAAATGGCTGTACTACAGGTACACGCACAGCTTTTTTTATCTACCGACCTCCAAAAGAGGCATTTTTTTATGTTTTTTAACCCATAACGCCATCAGTTGTAAAGTGATAGTGAAAATTCTTTTTTTTTCTGAAAGAATATACTTACAGATTGGTTTAAAAAAAATGTTGTCAAAATCGGTTCAATAGTATAGTTTTTAAATCAAAATAATTGGTTCTGGCATAATTGTAGTTTTTTTTTTTTTTGCATAAGACAATATTTTGAGTCACGCTAATAAAAATAATAAAAACAGAAATATATGATTTTGGTTTTAAAAAATATTATTAGCTATAATACCATATTCTATTTGAAAGAGGAATTAAGTCTCTGACGAGACGTTCTATCCTTAGATTATAGTTCCATCATGTCTATCTACTATTCCAATGGACGATAAACTAGTTTAGAGGTTTTTTTTTTTTTATTTACTACAATAATGATAAGATTTTTAACTTGATTTAATTAATTTTATGTGGATCTAAGTTACTCGATATTTTCTAAAATTCTTATTTTAATTATTACTTCTACAATTGCGGTTTCATATAAATAACATAGTAATTACTTGTTTTATGGTTCCATATTAAAGTCACAATTGAACTCGTCTTAGTTGAAATAAAATCGTAAATTATTATAATGAAACAATGAGAGCAAAGACATAACGCCATTCAGCCAAATTAACAGATAAAGTCCGCGCCGCATTCAACCATCGACGTTACAATTCATGTGGCAAGTTTGCCAGATATTTCGGGTGGGGTGGGAACAGTTCGATAGACATGCGACAGCGTGACGCCGACGGTACAGTCTGCCACATTATTACCTACACATGTCGTACCACATATTTATTTTTTATGATAATTTGAACAAGTAATAACAGGCTGATGACTCTCCGAAGTGGTAACTGGCACCTATAATCATGAACAGCACAATGGGCATAACAGAATGCACTATGAAGCGCAAATAGATATCATTTTTGGGGACTATAACCTAATTTCTTCATAGTCTGATATTTTTATGCCTATAGGCTATATGGAACAAAAATTGCAGACTATGATGGTTGAACATTTTTTTTTAAATTGATAATAGAATGGAATAGAAATCTCACTTACACCATCGACATATGCTACGGGACACCAGTGAGCGATAATAGATGAGGACGAAAGCAGGTCAGTTAATCCATCATGACGAATTCCGCAAGAATTAATCGAGAAGATTTCCAGGGAAAACTGCTTGGAAGTTATTCTGATATTGCTAGCAATGGAGTTAAGTCACTTCACGGCTGAAACACAAGTAGGACAAAGGTTGCTTACAACTATTGTACAAAATCTGACTTTCAGTATATATTAACTTAAAATATAACCATACATTTATAGATATAACCTAAAAAAGCTTACTTCAATTGTGACAAAACATAATTATTTTGATTTAAAAACTAAACTACTGAAACGATTTCGATAAAATTTCTATGAAACCAATTTAAAAGTTCCTTTTTTCCTTTCAGATAAAAAAAATCTAAATCGGTTTAAAATTAATTTAATTATGAGATAACAAACATAAAAATGTCTTTACAAACTTTCACATTTATAATATAGTACGAAGGATTAAAAAATTAAATGTCGATAGAACTGAAAAAATATTTAAAATATTTTTATCAAAATTATATTGCAGACCGACTGTACATTGCGTTTCACCAATCCAGAATGGAATCTCTACTTTATATCGGCCTTTTTATTGCATTTTATTTTGGCGCGACTTTGCTCCGTAGCAAACGCTCGCCCCGCAAATATCCAACCAAATAAAACAAAGTTCTACGCCCCCGCCACTGCAGCGTATGTTACAACCATGTCGCGATCGAGCACCTCGCCTCGTTACGATTGCTTTTATTGCGTCATACGAGTAATTTACGAGCGACCATTTTGAATAACATTACTTTTTTTTTAATGGCAGAACTGAATTTGAATTTTAGTTTGAACAAAGATCATATCATGTCAAGATTTATATATTTTCAAAATACTGTTCTTAGCATATCTTAGCTGCTACCTATCTATTCAATTTCATAAATTGTATATTTAAATCAAACTAATATTAGATCTTATATATATTTCTCTTATATTATAAATTATAAAGAGAAAAGTTTTGATTTTTTTTATGCAACTTAGAACGGTAAAAAAGCTGACGGCTTACCTGATGGAAAGTGGTAATCATCGCCTATAGATATGAGCAGTACAATGGGCATAACAGAGTATATTGTTTCACCCATGATACCCCCCATGCGTTATCATGGGTTCCTAAGAACTCAGGTTATTTCTTTGTACCCTGTAAATTCACTGCTATATCCCATCCTTCAAACCTAAACACAGCCATGCAAACACAATTGCTTTACGGTAGAAAAACGAATGGCACAGAGGTGCCCATCTCTATCTCTATCTCATCTCTAAACGCAAACGACTTTTGTACAAAGTCTCCCTCTGGTAAATTTATGATTAGTAGTATTTTTTTATTTGTTTATTTATATTGAATAAATTCAAAAAATACTTAACCGAAAATTCATTTAAATATAAAAAACTACATTATATGCAAAACATATCAACAGCGGGACTAAATCGCTATTTAAATATGAAATGTTTTGTTAGTAAAGAATAAATAAAAAAACATTAAAAATGGTTTAATCTATAAAAAGCTCCATCATCAGCGAATAACATGGCCTGTATTTTATTTTAGGAAAACTATACAAATCAGGTGGATCTTAAATAATTTATGACCACAAAATTAAAAAAGTTAAATAAGGTTTAAAAAAATTAGTTTATTTAAACCATATATGTACTGTTGAAAGTTATTGTTTATTCCTAAATGTAGGAAAGCACCAAAAACTGTGTATCAATTAAAATTTCTAATTAACTCTCTGAAGATGAATAACATTGAAAATAAATTATATAGTCTCACTAATCTGTATAATAAATCAAATTAATCCGCCTCGTATTAAGTATAACAACAAATACCGCTTGAACATAGCACGAACACAAAAAATTGCTAATTGTTAAAAACTGCACTACCTCGCATAATTGCTATAATACACATTTTGGTTACAAACGATTGAAACGATCATTTGCGATCTTGTTGCAAAAAACAGTACTAATTGATAACTATTAATTCAGTTTCTAAATCACTCCATAAAGGCAATACAAACGGTCACTTATTAATTAGTTTTATAAAATACAAAACGTGTCAAAAATTATCATTTAGTTTCTCTTTAAATAGCCGCGATTCTATAGTATTATATCTATTGGCCTCTTTTGACCGTAGGTATTATGCTTTATCTATGCTGGCCTCTAATATAAAAATAACATTTTAATTTTGACACAGATTATATACTAAATCTTAACAACAAACTAATGCTGAAAATGTATACTTCCAAAGTAGAAAAGAATAAGATTTCTTTCCGTATATTGGCAGCACTGACATTTCAATTTCAAACGGTTTTTATTTAGTGTTCTATGGCGTGTGTCAAATCATAAAACTTTTAAAAGAGTATATTTTCTTGCAATAATGTCAATTTTTAATGAATTACTCCCAAAACTTACTGAAATATCTAATGCATATATTAAAAATTTTAATGAAGATCTGAAGGTAATGCATTCAGTATAATTAATGAACTTCCAAATGGCCCTTGTTTGTTTCAAAATTTCTTTCGTGTTTCTACTGAAATAGTGCTTTTTAGTGCTCTGAGTGTAGTGTTTAGTTATTCTAAGTATATAAAAGTGTATTTATGTGTTGTTATAGGAAATTTTGGAAAGTATTGATAAATTCGAAAAGGAGTATTTGAATGATCGTGGACGCGCACGAGAGAAGGGAGGGAAAGATAAAAATTTGACGACTCTCGAAAGCATTAACGAAGACGAAGGTATGTGCTTCATAATGTTTTATTTTTAATATTTTTCTATAGTGATTTCTATAAATTTATACATTTTATTCTTAGATGAATGCATGAAAGTCCCAGAATCAGATCAAACTACACGCAGATCCAGTGTTAAATCCGACGAGACCAGTAATTCTAGCAACATTAATGGAGATGAAACACAGAGGCTGTCACAGAAGCGCAGTAAAAACGAAGTTGATGGCCTCTCCAGCCCAGAGCAGGATAAGAGGCAGAAGCGTAATGCTTCTGTTAAAGCACAGAGCATTATTAGTAAACAGGTAAAAAATAATAGTAGTCACAATTTGTTTGTTCTTATTTTCATAATATATATCTGACCCGCTTAGTGGAAAATGGTTATTTATTTGTTTTAATTTTATTTACTTAATTTCATTGAAAGACATGCTTTTTCCAGACAAAAAAAAAAACTGTCACACTGCAACCTTTCTATAATTTTTTGCTCACCTTAATTTTTTTTTATTTCGATGTTGATTCCTATCAATGAAAGAAATTTTTGGTAAATGGTAACCATCACCTATGACCATGTTTATCACAGAACATATTGTTATACCCTCGGTATCCCATATGCATTGTCATTTATTTATATTCACAATAGCCTAACAAACTGGGATTTCTTGTATATATGCCATTGAAAAAAAAATAAAACTTCCCCCATAATTTACAAAGAGAAACACTTGTAGAAATATTTGAATGGTAGTTACTTTGTTTAAACAGTCAAATTAAGTAAATACAACATATAAATACTAAATTCTGAATATTAACATATATGAATACTTTAAATCATGCCGACGTTTAATTTTACTTATTGACACAATACAATAGACCAGTGTATTGTGGGGTGCGTATTTTTTATAGTGTAAAAGGAAAACTAATGTAATAATTCAATGAGGTGAATGTAGTAGAGAGTAAAACACACTCGTTGTTGCTTATTTTTTTATTATTATTTCAGCCGTAAACTGTCCACTGCTGGACGTAAGCCTTCCCCATAAGGGGAGTTTTGCCAATAGTTGCCACACTTGGCAGGGAGATTGGCAACCTTTGAATATATACATGATGAATACTCTAGTCTTTACTTGTTACAATATATTTTTATATAAACTCTTACATACTAATATATTACATTACGAAGTTATTTAACATTCCACACATTCTGATAAGTTCAAGGGATGTGTCATAGGTCACATTACCATGTACACTCAAAATTAAATGCTATATTAGGCCACCTCACCACCATAGTAATATGTAATGCAATTGTAATCTATAGCCTCCTATTCAGGGGAGATCTGTACCCAGTAGATGAGTGTTAATGCTTTAACTGTTGAGAGCTCAGCTAGTGAGTTTAGTGTGTCACTTTGGCAGTACTCCTCAGCTCATATGTTACTACCATTTCATAAGTATATGTGAACCAATCTTACAAGTCAATGTTACCCACATGGCAATACTTACTATTGGTTTTTTCATATAATTGTGAATTGAAATAAGTTAAGCAGTACTAACTGTTTTTTAAAGAAAGATATTATAATATTTACCACCAGAGGGAGACTGTACAAAAGTAGTTTGCTTGGGCACCTCTATCTCAACCATACTTCTACAGTGAAGCAGTTGTGTTTCGGTTTGAACGATGGGATGTGGCAGTGAATTTACAGGGTACAGAGGAATAACACCTGAGTCTTCAGGAATGACAATGCATGGTGGCTATTAGGGCAGAAACAGTATACTCTGTTATGTCCATGGTACTGCTCATGTTTATAGGCGACAGTTACCACTTTCCATCAGGTGGGCCATTAGCTAGTTTGCCATTCTAAGTTGTATAAAAAAAATTTTTGACTTTAATTTTCTTGAACTCTATTTTAGGTGTTATGTTTATCACAATGATAGAAGTCCAAAATATTTGTAACTACCCCTTTGAGGATTGTAAGTCATGGCCATGTTTATTATTTTTATATTTTAGGTGAATGTAAATTTAACGCAAAAATTGCGTCGCGAAGACACCTCCGACAAATCGCAGTCGCGTAATCGGCGTCGCAAAGATGAAGAAAACAAAGAAAATGAAGTACCACTCCTAAATATTCAAAGTAAGTAATTACAACATTCTTAATCCTAATTATATTGTAAACTCTTTATTGTACATAATTTACATTGGACACATTAAAAGGTTTAAAATACAATGGTGGACTCGTTACATAGAGGGATCTCTTACAGTAAACCTTTGAGAAGGTGAAAGAAAACTAAAGACAAGAGTAACAAGAGTAAAAACCCTACAGCTAAAGATAAACTCAATAATATGTAGTAAAAATTTAATACATAATATAATAAAAAATAACTATACACCTACATACATAAATAATAATAATACAATAATAATAAAATAACATTAAATACATAAATAATAATAAACCTACATACATAAATGCATATATAAATAACCAATACATAGATACATATATCCACAATTGACTTAATAAAATAGCAGTTTCAAAATTATTATTAATTATTATTATTAAAAATTATTAATTATATAAAACATTAATTAAAAATAATAATAATAATTACTTTATAAAATACAATTGCATTATATAAAAAAAAAAGAAACATTTATTCAGTGCTCTATAAACTATATAATATTATAAGTATTTCATTTTACATTATAATAATTTACATTAATTTGTTTGATAGAATAGTATGAATATACTAGCTTTTACTCGCGACTATGTCCGCGTGACTGGATATTGTTTACTAACCGGGATAAAAAGTAGCCTATATCTTTCTCCGTCCCATACAGTGTGTGTACACCAAATTTCATTCTGACTGGTTAACCCATTAAGGTGCTATAAGGTGACAAACAAACAGTCACTTTCACATAATATTTGTCATTATCATCAACCATTGTCTGTCTACTACTAAACATAGGGCTTTTAACAATTTTGCTAGTAGTTGTCACGTTTGGCAACCGCAGTTAAGTTTCTGATGATGTTATTAAGAATTCCTCCCGAGCTGCTGCTCATCCCTCGACCGTTAAGTTCCCTTAGTCGCCTCTTACGACGCCCAAGGCAAAGGAAAGGGTGGTCCATTCTATGCTGGGACCACACGACAATATATTAATAAGGATAAAATTTGGGGTTACCGCAATATCGTCATAGTCGTAGAATACCAACGGATCTTTATATGTAATCTTTGTCAGATCCGTCAGTGTTCTACGACTATGACAATATGTTGCCATATTTCCCAATATAAAGATCAAAGATTGTATTAATTTGTTAATATAATTAATATAAATTTTAGTTAAAGAAGAAAAGATGTCAATGCCGCCGGAACCAATGGACACAGAATCTTTGCCAGTTGACATTGGGATCAAGCAGGAAGTACGCGATGATGAAGTTGCCATGCCTCCGCCAACGGCACCTGTGCCCAGTAAGAATTATACATTTTCAATATGTATGTTTTTGATGAGTCGATACTGCAATGAGCTGCCCGAACCGACATACCCGGAGGGGAAGGGATTGTTTTTTTTTTTGATGGGTGAAAATGGTATGGTAACCCCGCCTGCGCTAACGGGATACACTGGCGGAGCACCAGTGAAGGGTGATAGATGAGAATGAAAACAGGCCAGTTAGCCCATCATGATGATTTCATCAGGAATTAACTATGATAGTTTCCAGGGAGAACCGCGAGGAGGTCGACCTGGTTGGGTATATTGCTAGCAATGGGATTCTCAGTCTCCATTACTAACAATCCCTTTCCCCCCCAGGGAAGGGATTGTTAGTAATGAGTAGGTTAGACCCCATTGCTACCAATACATCCTATCAGGTCGGATCCCTCTAAAAAGCATTGTGACTAAATTATTGTTGAATTCGTAATGATGGGCTAACTGACCTGCCTTTTCATCCTCACCATTCAACCCTCACTGGTGTCCTGCCAATGTATACCGAAAGCGTAGACGGAGTTACCATTCCATTATCATACTATAAAAACATCGTCATACTCGTGAACGTATGCCTCTCGTAGAGACTCGTCTGCTCTAAACCCTGACCCTAGAAATTTGTTCTAATGCTATGTATTCGATTTATATGCTAATATTTCAAATTGTATGATCTGGTATTGCTTAATAATTTATATTCACACAACTCCATAATTTATATAATTCGTTTTTGAAAAAACAACAGTTGATTTTCTCGCCCTTTCTTTTTAGAAAGAAAGCTTTATTAGCAACCAACTGAATTTACAAAACTTCTTTACGCCAAGTAACGTGCTCCCCACTCCGCCACGGGGGCATCAGTGTTCATCATCTTTAGTATTTAACATGTAATTGTTCATTACAGAACCCCGCAAAGCAGGAAAGGAGAAACCACCCCAAGAGGACTTTGAAGAGGAAAGTTCAGGCAGAAGGAGAACCACTAGAAACAGGAAACAAACGGACACAGTGCAACCACCTGGTTAGATATGACATTGTTATTAATATTATAAATGTGAAAATGTGTTTGTTACCTTATAGCGCCTTGACTATTTAATCAAGCGCTATGGAATTTGGTAATACACATATATATGAAATGTAGAAGGATAAAAGCTACATTTAATCCCCATCAGTAAACACCAAGTCACGTGGACAAAGTCACGAGAAAAAGCTTATATACTATATAAAATTAAAATTTAAAAAAATATTGTGTATATATATATATATATATATATATATATATATATATATATATATATATATATATATATATATATATATATATACAATGAAAAAAGGAAGATTTTGATTTTTATAATGGATAAACTCAAAAAAAAACTTAAAATAGTTTTCTTACCAAAATGTGGCAATTGTCTACTTGTCTAATTGTCTACTGTGGTAATTAAAATAGTTTTCTTACCAAAATGTGGCAATTGTCTGACAATTTAAAAAAAAAAAAAACAGCAATTTTCAATATTTCTATTTAAAAAAATTCTCTCTTAGCGAACTAAAATGAATACTGTTGAAATGTTTGAAGTGCTTATTTATTTATTATTTATTTAAAAAACCAACAGCGATTTACAAATAAACTAACTTTTTATAACAAAGTAGTATGACAATAACAGGTTTTTCTAAATTAATTTCATAGGTTATGTAGTTGACAATTGTTAAAGGAAAAGCAGAAAAAAAAAAAGACGTGTGGCAGTCGGGGACTGCCGCGGTAAAGATATTGTATAGCATTTTTTATCAACTTATGCAATTTTATAATTATTTATTTATTTTATTTATGCAGTATTTTAACTATATGGGTGTGTGTTTATGTGTATAAAAGAGGGCTACTCTTAAAATCGCTCATTTCAAAATCCAAAATTTAGGTTATGTATTTTTATAGCAGTATTATATATAAATTCAAAAACAAAAACACTGCATTTGTGATAATAAATAAAATGTATTCATATAGAGTACTCACTCATTTTCTTTCACTATTTTTTCATTACTTACTTCATTAATAAATGCACTTTGTTTATTCATATTTAATATTAAAACACTTTATACACAAATTTTACGCGTACAGCTATTCACTGTTGGACATAGATGATAGATACCTATACACCTATATACATTCTCACAACAACTGCTTACGTATTCGTCCAATTCCGGAGCAGCTCGCAAAAAGAACGCTGTCTCACCTAGCATTGTATCTAAAAGAGATAGAATCAGTTATGAGCAGTCAGCGGCTAGTCTACACGCATACGTCTACTCGCACGCACACAAACACCGTGCCGAAGTCTACCGAACTGAAACGACGTTAGACGATGCACGGCTTCCGTCCTCGCAGCGCTCTGCCGCCATAAGAGTGGGGGGTGTTAGGTTCCATTTCCGTTACGGAATTTTTACATTCGGTCTCCGCGTTCAAGGCCCGCGATAAAAGCTATACAATAGCTTAAAAATAAACAAATCAAATAGGTAGGCAATCGTTGAGGTCACAATAATATTTTTACACATACGCAACAGACATAATACATTCAATTCTTATCCGTGTAAGAACTATTTTTGCTTTTCATATCTCATTTTATTTAGGCCGAATAGCCTATAACTATTCGGCATCACGCTACGATCACGAGTGAACACGCGGGATACAGTTAGCAATGAATAAATAATTGTGTACAGCGGCGGCGCCCCGGTCCCGATCGACCCGCGCCAGCTCCCGCGCCGCGCGGCCGCCGCCGGAGCCCCCGCGGCCTCACACGCCGCCCGCCGTGCAGCCGCCCGCCGTGCAGCCGCCCGCCGTGCAGCCGTCCGACATGCAGCCGCCGCAGATACCCGAAGTCAGGCCGAAACGCACCAGGGCTCGAAAGGTACGCTGCACGACTAATTCTCTACTGAAATTTACATTTAAAAAAATTATAATGAACTAGTAATAAAATTAAAGAGTTGTTTACAAAACCTAGTTGTAAAGAAAATAGCCATTCGGTCCCACTGTAGAATGAGCCATCCCTCCTTTTCCCGTGGGTGTCGTAAAAGGAGACTAAGGGGACTTAATGGCCGAGGGATAGGCAGCAGTGAACCTTTTAAAACATCACCAAAGCCTAACTGCGGTTACCAACCCGCTTAGCGTGCTTAGCGTGGTGACCTGGCGAAACCAGAGGGAGACTTTGTACAAAAGTCGATTGCTTGGATACCTCTGTCCCATTCGTGTTTCAACCGTGAAGCAGTTGTGTTTGCATGATTGTGTTTCGGTTTAAAGGGTGAGATATGGCATGAATTTACTGGGTACAGAGGAATAACACCTGAGTCCTCAGGAATGGCAAAACATGGGGGGTATCATGGGCGAAACAGTATACTCTGTTATGTCCACGGTACTGTTCATGTCTATAGGCGACGGTTACCACTTTCCATCAGGTGGGCCGTCAGCTTGTTTGCCATTCTAAGTTGTATAAAAAAAAAGAAACCCCTAGTGCCAAGACAATCAATCCATGCGGGAGGAGAGTATGTTCAGTAATGGTCAGGTAATGACTGATATGTTGATAGAAAATATACCTAAATTTGATTCCTGATTTGCATTTGCAGAGTTTGAATTTCTAATTATTTTTATTTTTGTCTAATAACTGTACGAGGTTTGTCCGGAAAGTACGTATAAAAGTTTTTTAAAAATTTTATTTTACAATTATTCAGGTAAATCAATTTTATCCCCTTCAAAGTACTCCCCCTGTGACATAATGCACTTGTGCCAACGCCGTTTCCACTGTGAGAAGGCTCCTTGAAAGTCCTCTGGTTGTAGGTTTCTCAGCTGCCCCGTCGTAGCTTTTTTTATCTCATTTATGTCCCCCAAATGCCGCCCCCGAAGTACCAATTTGGTTTTTGGGAACAAGAAGAAGTCACACGGGGCCAAATCCGGCGAATAGGGGGGTGTTCGGTCACCGTAATAGAATTTTTACTCAAAAACTCACGGACAACAAGAGAGGTGTGGGCAGGGGCATTGTCGTGGTGAAGAATCCAACGCCCCTCTCGCGCCAATTCTGGACGAACTCGTGCCACACGAGCTTTGAGGCGTCTGAGCACATCGACGTAGAATTTTCCATCAACTGTCTGGCCTGGAGGGACGAATTCTTGATGGACAATCCCCCGAACATCGAAAAAAACAATCAACATTGTCTTGACATTTGAGCGGGATTTTCTTGATTTTTTTGTTCGTGGTTCCCCGGATGTCTTATCGAATTAGATCGGCAAAAATTTCACGGCCATTCTTGCCGAGTTTCGAGAGAAACTTGATTACGACGCGCTGCTCTTCAACGGAAGCGGGCTCCATGCCGACGGGGTTTCGTTAAGAGGTAACTTCACAGATGGCGTGACAAGCCAGTTCGCACCGCACGGCGGTCAGACCAGAACTGAAGCATTGTTAGGGACATAAGGAAGGGGTCCTGCGCTTACCTGGCCTCCCCACTCCTCTTTCTCGCATTCCAGAACACTTTTATACGAACTTTCCGGACAGACCTCGTATTATTTTACTTTATATTTTCCACCTATGCTTTAATTTTTATGATTTTTTTTTAAATATTATACGGTATGCCTTAAACGTAACCGTAAATGTCGCTGTCATATAATTGTTCCTTGTAGTATATCATGTTCACGTACTGGCCACTAATAATTTTGTAAATACTGGCCGCTAACAATTTGTTCTATTTATTCTTTTAATGAATAAATCAGTGTTTAACCAACTCGCTTGCGTATCACCACATTCCTATGGGTTATGTACCTGTATAATAAAATAAATATTATTATTATTATATTCACAGAAGGTATCCGAGGTTACGACTGACTCCGAAAAGAACACTACGCAATCGACGCAAGTAGACGAAACAGGTATTTATTTTACCCACTTTGCATTTTTTTATTATTTACAAATTGGAATGGCAAACAAGCTGATGGCTTGCCTTATGTAAAGTGATAATAGTAGCCTACAAACATCAAAGAATGTAAAGTAATGCCCATGGTACTTCTCTTGGGTTGCCATTTACAAGGATGTAATGACCATTTTACCCCCTCTTCCCATAAGTTGTTATCTATTTATGGCTATGTTATGAACTAAAACTGTACCTTAAGGAATCTCTATTTAGAACTGAAATTTGTAACAAATACTTCCCTTCATCGCCATATAACCTTGTTCCAACTAGAAAAACTGCATTCTATGCAGTTAAAGCTTTTTGTATAGCTAGTGATTTTTTAATGGGTGATAATGGAATGGTAACCCAGTCTGCACTATCGGTATATGCTGGCGAGGTACCATTGAGGGATCTTTAACAAAAATTAACGATGATGGTTCCCAGGTAGAACTGCGTGGATGTCGACCTGATAGGGTATATGGCCAGCGATGAGGCTGTTAGTCTCCATTATTAGCATTTTCAGTCTTGTTCTGCATATAAATAGATATATATATAATTTATTTGCATTACTTACAGCACACATCACAACAAATAGATATAGATAAAAAGCGAAATAAGAGAAATGCATAAAAAAATATATAATAGCAAAACACAAATTTTTCTTTTCGTGTGTGTGCCATAACGACACAAAATGGTCACACAACTCAGTTTGTAGCTTTACCCTCAAAAAAGCAAAACACTGATATTCTGTTGTAGCCTAAGAGATGGTCATTTGGTCTTTTTAAATTTCGCATTACTTTACAGCGTCGCCGGCAGATAAACGACCCAAGAGAACTAGGAGAGGGCGAAAAGCAACGTAAGTAAATTGAAATGTCTGTCAGTATGACAGACATATCAACTAACTCTTTGAATAACAACTGAATTAAAAAATATAGCATATTTTAAAGACAGATGCCTGGAAATATTCTGTATATTATGTTTAATTTATAGAATATTACCAGGCTTTAGTTTTAATTTATAATATAAATGTTTAATTATTAAATAAACTATATTTTACTGAGATAAATCTTATGTTTAGTGAAAACTGAAATTGAAATATAATAAATAATAACACTTCAAAGTATTTCTAAATTATCGTAAATATTAGATATATATGTTATATTAGAAACATTATCACCAGAGGGAGACTTTGTGCAAAAGTCGATTGCTTGGGTACCTCTGTCCCTTTCGTGTTTCAACTGTGAAGCAGTTGTGTTTGCATGGCTGTGTTTCGGTTTGAAGGGTGGGATATGGCGTGAATTTACTGGGTACAGAGGAATAATACCTGAGTCCTCAGGAATGGCAACGCTTGGGGGGTATCATGGGCGAAACAGTTTACTCTGTTATGTCCTTGGTACTGCTCATGTCTATAGGCGACGGTTACCACTTTCCATCAGGTGGGCCGTCAGCTTGTTTGCCATTCTAAGTTGATTAAAAAAAAAATAAAAAAAAACATTATACTGAATAATAATTTCAGTGACAAACAAGAAGCCCCAAAACCAGACCCAATAATAACTCCAAAAGAAGAGATATTGTCCCAGCACGAAGCTCCCCAATCGCCGATTCTGCCGCACAAGAAAACTAACCTTCACAAAGAGGCTTTAAAGAACAATATCGATACAGATTCAGAAATTACAAATAAAACTAATCACAAAATTAATGGTGTAAAGTTGAAATTGGTGCTGCAGAGCTCGGAAGAAGACGGTACGACGATGAATGAGACACATGTGTTGCCAAATGCAATAGTACCAATAAACGATATGGACAAAACAGTTGTATTGCCGAATGGACTGTACAACCATGCGCCGGTCACGCCCAAGGATATTGTAAGTTACCTGTATTATTTTTGCGAAGGTGGCGCCCTCTATGTTCTAACGTCACGTTCTCAATTCGACTATTTTTTTTTATGTTTGTAATGAGGTCAAAACTCTGTCAATTCGTAACCTGATTCGGAAAATTCTTATTTTTATTGTAAAGGATGTATTTACAGATTGAGCCCATAGTTATTTTATGAGAATCAGTTCAGTAGGTTAGTTTTTAAATCAAAGTAACTGGTTTGAAGTTGGTTTTTTGTAGGACACAATCTTGCTCACTATAACTGTCGTGTCTTTGGGAGGGGGGGGGGGAGGGATTGTTAGTAATGGAGACTGAGAATCCCATTGCTAGCAATATACCCAACCAGGTAACCAATACCTCCACGCGGTTCCCCCTGGAAACTATCATGGTTAATTCTTGATGAATTCATCGTGATGGGCTAACTGGCCTGTTTTCATTCTCATCTATCATCCTTCACTGGTGCTCCGCCAGCGTATCCCGTTAGCGCAGGCGGGGTTACCATACCATTTTCACTCATCAACTGTCGTGTCTATGTAATATACATACTCAATATGTATAATTACCATCAAGTTATTTGTATACTGGCACAACGAATGTTCAAGTATTACGTATCACAATTTGAATGAACAATTTGATGTACGTAACATTCTTTTTTTTTTTTAAATTAAGTAAATTGTTTTACTTAAATAAAAAAACCAATCTGGCAGCTCCCAAGTTGGCAGCTTTTTTCGTTTATGTTTCGGAGGGTCAAAAATCTTGGAAAATTGGGTTACGTAATATTTGAACGTCCCCTAGCCATCTAATACCATGTGGTTATGAAATCTATGTGGGCGCAGATCATTCTTTTTTTTATCTCGTATAATTTTTTTTTTTCCTTATTTTTTTCTTTTATTATTTCTATATTTTTAATCAAACCACGACTTAATTTTGCCTATGCATCAGACATTTTCTGTTTATGATTTTTATATATATTTCAAGAAATGTATTTTTTTTTTTCAACAGAATATAAACATGAATGCCACAGTGGTGTTGGAAACATATAACCGTGAAACAATGGTGTTAGAGAAACATACAGCTGTCATGGACGCTACTGTAGTCATTGATAAGGGTATGTTATTTCTTCATCATCACCATATCATGTATGTATATCAATAATTACTAGTACCGCATTCGAATATTCTGACACTTCCCTATAGTTGACTGGGAGAGAATGCTTTTAGCATTAAGTCCGCCATGTGTACATTTGTACTAATGAATAAATAAATAAATATCAGTTATTAACTTTCCACTGTTAAACATAGGCCTCCCCTGTAAAAGCAGGTTTTGCCAAGTTTCTACACTTGGCAATTTGGTTGGCAACCACAGTTAAGCTTTGGTAATGTTTTAAGAGAGCAGCTGCTGTCCATCCCTCGACCATTAGGTTCCTTTATTGCCTCATACGACAATAATGGGCAACAAAGGTGTGGGTCATTCTGTGTCGGGACCACACGGCTATATTCTTTTTTTTTATATATTACTAACTTACCCGACAAACAATGTTTTACGTCCATAACGCCACCTATCGGGTCCAATTTTTATCGTGTTTTAAACTACACTCTCTCAAATTCGAAGTTAAATATGTATTATTTAATACACATTTATTTAACCAATATTGATTAATTATTATTCAATATTATTAAAAAATAATTTCAATATTATAAATACTTAATCTCCTTATTTACAATAACTAAAACCGATAAATCTATTTTTATTCAAACTGAGAATTTAACAAAAGAAAGAGACAAAACAGTTTAATAGCTAAAATAAGTATAAACTTCTCTCATAAGAGTGGTTTGACGTTTTCATAAATAGGTGAGAAATGCATCATTACTGTGATAAGTTTAAGTCTTGAGCGTCATCATCATCTCGGCCGTTATCTATCCACTGCTGCGCATAGGTCGCCGTGAGTAATGGTTCTGACCCACCTTCATCCACTGACTTCCTACAATGCATCTGGAGTCGTCACTCCGTCTAGTTACGGAATCGCCACTCAAGAACCTTTCTTCCCCATCGGTTGTCTGTTTTTCTATGACTCTAACTAACGTCTAACTATGTTACCAGCCTATTGCCACTTCAGCTTGCTTACCCTTCTTCTTTTCTAATGAATATTTACCTTTAATCACAGATCCTCCAGCAACGAATATAACCGAAGACAATTCAATACTTACTGATGACAACAGCGATGTACAAGAACCACAGACGCCTCGAAAACAAGACATACCTAAAGTGCAACCTACGTGAGTACATAATTTTTTTACAGATATGTCTACACCAAATTATTTACGGGTACAAAGAAAGATTTCCCAGAACCATGGTACTGCTCATGTCTATAGGCGACGGTTACCACTTTCCATCAGGTGAGCCATCAGCTTGTTTGCCATTCTAAGTTGCATAAAAAAAAACATAATTGGCTTTAACCCATAGAGGTGTACTTACATGCAAAACCCTTTAGAAAAAAAAACTCTTTTTACAATGTGCCAAATTTAAATTTGTATGTACTTTCTTGCGTGTAAATGTTAGTCGATCATGCACGGACATTTTAATGACCATATTAGGCATTAATCTATCCATCTATCCTATTTAAGAGCTGCGCTCTTGTCGGTGGAGCTCTTGCCACTCACTACGATTTCCAGCGAGTCTCTTCACCTCTTGATACGACACGACACCAACTCCATATTAGGCATAGTGCATTTAAATAAATATGTGTACTTATACATATGTTAACAGAGATTTAAAAGAGTAACTGTTGAGTTTCTTGCGGTAGGTTTAAAAAAATTACAATTCTAAAGTGCTTGCAAACAAGTCGTCACGTTATCACTGTTTTATATATTATTCTTATATATTTATACATAACATCTCTTGCACACATGTGTCCGTGAGTTACGCATTCAGGGCCTACTGAAAATCAGTGTCGTAGCTTCAGATTTGAAACTGCGATATATGCTGAGTTAGGTGCTTTGCACAAACACTGCTACGTTCATTTTGTTTTTTATATGTTTTTCTTTTTATTCTAAATTCTAAAGTAAATGAAATGAAATGAAATGAAATTTATTTGCTAGAAACATTGTAGAAAAGGTGTTGCATTTGTAAAGTTTATAAGATGTCCATTATGTTTCGCCACATCAAATGGCATGCAAATATTAATTATTGAATTTATCCATTGGCCATTTTATACAGGTACATCATATATTTAATTTTCAATTACATATATAATAAATCACTATTAGTACGAAGTGCCACTTTGGTCATGCATTACAAACAGTCAATAAAGCTACTACAAATAATAAAATGATAAAAATGTCGTATAAAATTAAAATTACAATTTAGATTTCAAACTAAGTCAATGTCACAGCATTTATATCTTACAAAAACTCATTGATATTGTAAAAATTATTTTCTATTAACCATGTTAGTAAAATAGTGATGTTATTGTTTGTTTGTTTGAATTGTTTAAGACCTAATTCTTTAAATTATTTTGTATAGTTGTGTAATCTTTATTATTATGTTGTTTTGTTATGTGTAATATGTATAATTAATTTTTTTTTTTTTTGAAGAGCGATTGTGTTTGACTTGTGATGTTGTTTAGATGTGGGGTTTGTTTAGTGTATGTGTAAATAAATGAATTGTATTTATGTAAAATGCGTAATTTTAAGATGAATATTATAGTAACTAGTATATTTATATCATTATCATATTAGCCTTTAACTGTCCACTGATGAATATAAGCCTTCCCCTTGGGGGTATTGTCAGCAGTTGCCACGTTTGGCAGACGGATTGACAACCGCAATTAAGCATTGGAGATATTTTAAGAGGGACACTGCTGCCCAACCCTCGCCCTCCCTTAGTCGCCTTTTACGACACCCACGAGAAAGGAAGGGGTGGCCTATTCTATGCCAGCGAGTTATTTTATATGTATAATGATTATTATTAGTATTGGATATACCATTTTTTTTTTTAATAAATGATAATGAAATGGTAACCCCGCCTACGCTATCAGTATACACCGGCGGGGCACCAAAGAGATGATAAATAAAAATTAAAGAGCAAGTCAGTTAGCCCATCGTGATAAATACACCTGGAATTCAACACGTTAGTTTCCAGGGGGGACCACGTGGAGGTCGACCTGACAGGGTATATTGCTAGCAGTGGGATTGGTAGTCTGAATTACTAATAATTCCCCCCACCCCTTCCCTTGGATATACGATTTGAAGATATTTTTCTGTACTCGTCGCAAATAGTAAATTGTATATTTATATTATACCAGCGATACAGGCCGGCTTCGCACGGATAGATAGAATGTTCGTAAGTAATATATACCCTGGGTTGTAAGCTAATAATATATCTTTCTATAGGGGAATGAATTTTTAAAATCGTTTGAGTAATTTTTGAGTTTATCCATTACAGACAAACGATCAAATCTTTCCTCTTTATTAGTATAGATAAAATTTTGTTTTGTACACGTACAATGAACATTCTATATAAGCAACACATTTGAACCAATTTCAATAAAAAAAAAAAATAATGGGAAAAGTTACTTATAGGGGAATAAAGGAGTATAAAAATACTTACCGTCTGAAAAATATTTTTACTTATTTCTTTTGCTAACTAAGCTGAGTAGAGTAAATAAAATATAAAGAATGTTGCTTATAGAGAGGTTGCTTATATAGAGCGTTCGCTGTATTATGAACTGTATAATATAATATATGTAGCTTGGGGTAAGAGAGATAGATATAGATCTATCTCTCTTACCCCGGTATTTGATACTAGGGCTCGCGGTCTTTATGTCACGAGAGTTGATCAATCGTGAATAATATATCTGGTCTCACAAATATAAAAATATGTTACAATTAACAATGATCTTCAGATCTGCTGTGAAAGAGAAGGTGCAACAGTTTGAAGAGCTAGCGTCGAGAGTGACAAGGACAAAAACGAGAGCAATGGCTAAAAAGGTAAATACCAACTCTCTCTCTTTTAATCCTTTTACTATGACATCCTCACCATTATGCCACAGTGATGTCATTGGTCTAAAAACTAGAGATGTTTTTTTTTTTTTACTAGCATTCATATTATCATCACTTCTGCCATTGTCCGTCCAATGTTGGACATAAACCTCCCCCATAGACCGCCATAGGAACGGCCCTGAGCTACCTGCATCTACTATCACCCTGCAATGCATTTGAGGTCGTCACTGCATCTAATAAGGGGTCGTCGTACACTGTTTGCGCATACGGGGTCGCCGCTCAAGAACCTTTCTTTTTTTTTTTTTTTTTTTTACAACACAGGGGGCAAACGAGCATGCGGCTCACCTGATGGTAAGTGACTACCGCCGCCCATGATCACCCACAACACCAGCGGCATTGCAGGTGTGCTGCCGGCCTTTTAAAAAGGAATATACTCTTTTCTTGAAGGTTATGTTGTCGTATCGGTTCGGAAATACTGCTGCTGGAAGTTGATTCCAAAGAATGGTTGTGCGTGGAAGAAAGTGCCTTGAAAAACGCACGGTGGAAGACCGCCACTCGTCCAGATGATTGGGATGAAACTTTAGTTTGTGGCGGGTTGTACGGTGGTGAAAATCAGCAGCAGGTATCAATCCGAACAATTCCTCAGAACACTCCCCATGATAAATTCGGTAGAAGATGCACAGAGATGCAACATCTCTGCGCAGTTTCAGTGGGTCGAGTCGGACAGTAAGGCGTTGACTATCGATAATTCGAGCCGCCCGACTTTGAATGCGGTCTAACGGAAGGAGTTGGTACTGTGGCGCTCCTGCCCACAGGTGAGAACAGTATTCCATATGCGGCCTGACTTGGGCTTTATATAATTTCAGGCGGTGTTCTGGCATGAAATATCGTCTCACCCTATTGAGTACTCCTAACTTTTTGGAAGCTATCTTAGCCTTCTCCTCCAGATGACCGCAAAACTGGACGTCGCAAGATATATCAACGCCCAGAATTCCTAGACTCGACTTTTTATCAAGGGAAGTGCCCTGAAAGTGAGGAGATACGACAAACGGCGTCTTTTTTGCGGTAAACGCGCAGACTTGTGTCTTTTTGGGGTTAAATTGGACAAGATTTTGTTCACCCCAGATCGAAACTTGATGGAGTGAAGTTTCGATTTCAGACACAAGTCTATTCCGGCACTCATCGGTATGTGCCCGCGAGATCTTTGCATGACCGGTATATAATGTATCTCCTGTACTGTCGTCCGCATAGCAATGAATATTACTTATCTGTAACATATCATTGATATGCAGAAGAAACAGAGTCGGAGATAGTACACAGCCTTGCGGAACACCAGCATTCAAAGGTTTTAAATCAGAGCATGCTCCGTCGACTACGACCTTAATGCTACGTTCCTTGAGAAAACTGGCGACCCAAATGCACAGTCTCGCAGGCAACCCAAATGAAGGTAGCTTTGAAAGCAGCGCTCTATGCCACACCCGATCAAAGGCCTTCGCGATATCCAGACTAACTGCTAAGGCCTCTCCCTTACTCTCGATTGCCACTGCCCATCGGTGTGTTAAGTAAGCTAAAAGATCACCAGCCGAACGTCCCTGTCGAAAGCCGTACTGGCGATCACAGATCAGCTGGTGCTCTTCTAGGTACCGGAGCAGTTGACGGTTAATGATGGATTCCATAACCTTCGAGAATAAGGAAGTGATAGCTATGGGCCTATAGTTAGCTGGATCTGAGCGATATCCCTTTTTAGGGATCGGATGCACCAGAGCAGTCTTCCAAAACTTTGGGACTATGCCCGATGAGTAGCTAAGCCGAAAAAGACGCGTAAGAACCGGAGCCAACTCTGGTGCGCACGTCCTAAGCACAATTGGAGGAATACCATCGGGCCCACTCGACGTATGGATTTCGAGGGAGAAAAGTGCTCTACGCACTGAGCTATGCGTGAATTTAATGTCAGGCATAGAGCTCCTACAACACGTGATGGTCGGTGGTGATTTCATCCCGTCATCCAATGTCGAGTTTGACGCAAAGATGGATCCAAGAAGATCGGCCTTTTCCTTAGCGTTCTGGGCCAACGAGTCATCCTCCCTGCGCAATGGTGGAAAAGATGACTTACAGAAATTCCCTTGTGCAGCTTTGGCAAGAGACCAGAAAGCTCGAGTCCCAGAGGGCAAACTAGCCAATCTCTTGCCAATTCTACTAATATGCTCTGACTTCGCTGTGGCTATAACTCTTTTGAAAGACCTAGAGGCAGAGTTATACTTCTTTTTGAGAGCACTGGTGTTAGGATCTCGCGACGCCACACCTTTAGCCCAGGTTAGGAAGCACTCCTGTTTCAGACGAGATGCTGTTCTACAAGAGGCTCCATACCAGGGCTGGGATTTCCCGCCGACGGGCACCACAGAGTTAGGAATAAATAATTCCATTCCCTGAAGCACCACATCAGCAATGGAATCGGCAATGGCGTCAGGATCATCCAGTGTGAAGCAAACCCGCCTCCATGGGTAAGATGCGAAAAAAATCCGCATCTCATCCCAGTCCGCTGACCTGTAGTGCCAGACACGACGTCTACCCGTGGAACGTGGTGGAATCGGACTCATGAGAGGCACCTCGCTCCGTACCAGACTGTGATCCGACGATCCAAGCGGAGCTTCGACGGAAATCACATAGTTGTCTGGGTGGGTGGTCAGCAGAAGGTCCAACAGTGAAGGTGAATGGTCCAACACATCAGGTATTCGCGTAGGCGAGGAAACAAGCTGCGTCAGACCATAAGCCAAAGCAAAGTCATGAACAGATCTTCCCGCATAGTCGGTTGTACGTGAACCAAGCCATTCGGTATGGTGGGCATTAAAATCGCCAAGAATCACGACTTCAGCGGAAGGAATCTGTTCGAGCAGGGAATCTGTAGCCATTTGGACGTGCTCAATGAGTTGGTCGGTTTCGATGTTACCGCTGTGGGACCTGTATAGGCATGCATAGACGCGAGGATGGTCATTGCAGTCTACGCGCAGCCATAAAATAGACAGGTCCGTACCTTCAAGAGTTCCAAGGCGGCGACAGCAGATATCCTCTCTGACATACGCGCATACACCGGCACGCGAAACAAAACAATGTTCAAGTTTATAGCCCGGGTACGTCAGGTATGAAGTTTCGTTTGGAGAGGATATCTGTGTCTCCGTTAGAAAGAGCAATGCCGGCCGCGCCGTTTCTAGGTGGTGGTGGACAGCGTTTAGGTTAGAATGTAATCCCCTGATATTGCAGAAGCTCACATTGAGCGAAGGGGATGCCGTAGAAATCTTGCTCCGTTTGCCCTTGGTTCCAAAGAGCGGAATTTTGCCCCCCCCCAGACTACGCAGGGCAGCCCGAGCGTGGTTGCTCGAGAGAGGATTCTCCAGCAACATGGTTACTGGTACCTCCCTGGGGTATGCTATTTTTTTTTAATTCCACTGCCATGGTTGCGTGTTGTAAGATAGGGGGACGGGGTTGGGGAAAGGATTTTAGGAATAGGAAAGGGATGGGTGTGGGATGGGTATGGGATGGGCCTCCGGACTCCCTCACTCACCGTACGGAATGTGATCGCACTGAAAGTGCAACCACTTAGCGTCGGTATTCTGTGAGGGTGTGGTACTTCCCCGGTCGAGCCGGCCTATTCATGCTGCAATACCATATGGTATTACAGCGTGGCTCTACCACCTAAAGTTCTTCCTCATCGATTGTCGGTTCTTCGAGCTATGTGACCAGCCCATTGCCACTTTAGCTTGCTTATTCTTCGGGCTATGTTGGTTACTTTGGTTCTTTTGCGGATATCCTCGTTTCGGGTTCTATCACGCAAAGAGACTCTGAGCACAGCCCTCTCCATGATCCGTTAAGTAATTTAAAACTTTTGCTTACGAGCAATCATGTTTCTTTTTTAATGGATAATAATGGAATGGTTATTCCGTCCGCGCTATCGGTATACGCTCGCGGGACACCAGTGTGGCTTGATAGATGAGGATGAAGAGCAATCGTGTAGGACCATGTGACCACGCACCGGTTAAAGAGTAGCATTAAAGGTAGCATTCGTATGGCCTTTATTAATTCACTAATTACATTACAGGAGGAGAGCACGGAGAACCAAACGCCACCGGACAAAATATCAAAGCCAGTACTCTCAGCGGAGACTCTCAGCAAAATGAACAGTTTGATATTTAATGGGAAAGCGCCACAGGTATATCGTCATTACCTCATCAGCCGTTAATCGTCCACTGCTGAACATAGGCCTGCCAGTAGTTGCCACGCTTGGCGAGCGAGTTATAGCATTTTATATGATTCTTTAGATTGATAATAACTTTTTTATTTATGAACCGATTGAAATAAAACAAACAATAAATGTTAAGTGGATCAAACCGCAACGCTTTAGTGGAAATTACATTCAAATCGGTTAACCCGTTTCTGAGATTAGCGTGCACAAAAGTACCAGAGGGAGACTTTGTACAAAAGTCGATTGCTTGGCTACCTCTGTCCCATTCGTGTTTCTACCGTGAAGCAGTTGTGTTTGCATGGTTGTGTTTCGGTTTGAAGGGTGGGATATTACAGTGAATTTACAGGGTACAGAGGAATAACACCTGAGTCTTCAGGAATGGCAACGCATGGGGGGTATCATGGGCGAAACAGTATGTGTGTGTACTGTTATGTCCATGGTACTGCTCATGTCTATAGGCGACGGTTACCACTTTCCATCAGGTGGGCCGTTAGCTTGTTTGCCATTCTAAGTCATATAAAAAAAAAACAAAAGAATAGACAAACAGAAATTCTAAAAATCATTGTCTTGGGTTCTATTGCGTTCATATAATAGCGTTCCTATAATAGTTTTTCTTATATATCTTCCATGTACAGACAGTGATTACGTTACGATTTTATTATATGTATTGATTTTAAATTTTTACAGGTATCAAGTTCTGCCACGAAACCTCGCGCTAATGTTTCATCAGTAAAATCCTTCATCCCTGCCTCCACATCAAAATTGAGCGCGATTAATAAAGCCAAAGAAAAGGAGGCCGCAGAGGAGAGCTTGAAGAGGGAGAAAGAGGATGCTAGAAAGAAGAAGGAAGCGATGCTGGAGGCTAAAAGGGAGCAGCAGAAGAAGTGAGTTGACTTCCATTATTATTATTAGATGCATTTGTTGAAATTTGTTTTAGTCTGAATTTTTTTTTTTTTTTATAATACTTAAAATAGCAAATTAACTGCTGACTCTTATGATGGTGAGCGGTAACCATAGCCATTAGACATAAATAACACAATGGACGTTACAGAATACTCTGTGATACATATGGTATTCCTGAGGTGTTGCCATTATTAAGGACTGTGGTGTTATGTCCCTATACCCTATAATTTCACTGTTATATCTCATTTATTAAACCGAAATACAGCCATATTAGTCCAACTGTTTGACAACAGAAACTAGAGTAGGACAAAAGTACCCAAACAGACAAAGCTTAATACAGTCTTCGTTTGGTAAAGAACTTATGGTACATATATTGGTAATGGCTGGAAAGAAGCCATATAGTATATTAAAAAAAAAAAACTTTTTCCAGCCATTACCACATATTTATCTGAATATAATTAATTAATTTATGTCTTTTACCTTTAATATTTACAAAATTAATAACTTGTGATTAATTAATTCATACTTCATTCATAAATTTCAAAAGTCTACACTATTATAAAAGTAAGTTGGTATCCTTCACTAGCTGTATCCTATGGCTTCGCCCATATTATTATGTGGGTATTATTCCGTGGGTGTCGTAAGAAGCGATTAAGGGAGGGCAAGAGATGGGCAGCAGTGTTCCTTCTTCATTAAGTCCGCCGTGCACATATTTATACTAATGAATAAATGAATAATTAATGAGTCGTGGTATAATAGGAAGCGCGAGGAGAAGATGGCGGCGGCGGCGGCGGCGCGGTGGCAGGCGGAGCGGTCGCGGCTGGCCGCGCTGCAGGCGGCCGACCGCGAGCGCCGCGACCGCCAGGCGCACGCCGACCAGGGCCGCCTGCACCGCCTCAGGGAGGCCGAGCGGGTACGCCGGCACACGGTGCATCGCTCTCAACACACATACACATCTCCAAACATTATATTTTAAATTAGCTATCGCGTCATTTCTCTTAAGAAATCTCTCTTGAGATATCTCTTAACATAATATTTTAAATTAGCTGATGCCCGCGGCTTTATTCGCGAGGTATTTGTTACTCTATTTTATTATATCTGGGCATACTGGACCAAAATTAACAAATGTCATTTTTTTTATATACAACTTAGAGTGGCAAACAAGCCGACGGTCCACCTGATGGAAAGTGATAACCGTCGCTTATAGACATGAGCAGTACCATACACATAACAGAGTATTCTGTCTCGCCCATAATACTCTCCATGCATTGCCGTTTCTAAGGATTCTTACGCCTCGTCCAATAATAACTATTTCATTTTAAATTTGTGACCTTGTCTAAATCTCGAAGTTTTTAAATTCAATGACTTGGCGTCACAGAAGTCACATTTTGTCGTTACAGAAGAAACAAGAACTAGCCCGCAAAGTTTTAGAGACAGAAGAGCGTAGAAGAGCAGAAGAGCACGCTCGGCAACAGAGGCTGGAGGAGGAACAGAGACGAGCGGACGCCGCCAGGCGCAAGCAGATCGAGGAGGCAGAGGCGTTAGTTGATTTTTATTCATCATCATCATCATCAAATCAGCCGTTAACTGTCTACTACTGAACGTAGACCTTCACCAATCGGGAGATTTTGCCAGTAGATGCCACATTTAGAAGGCAGTATAGCAACCGCAGTTAGGCTTTGGTGTCTTAAGAGGAACCCATCTTTTATTCATTAAGTTCCCATAGTCGCCTCTAAAGACATCCACGGGAAAGAGAGAGATGCCTAATTTTATACCGGGATAACACTTTTATTATTGATTTTTTATTACCCTAGTAGGGTAATAAAAAATCAATAATAAGTATAATAAAGGTGACAGTTTGTAAAGATGTTTGTTACGCAATCACGCTTAAGTGGCTGAATTTCTAAACTACATAAATACTTATATATATTGCTAGGATCCATGAATTAAAAAAAAAATAGTCCTAATTTATAATATTTCAATTATTATAATTTTAGCATGAAGAAAGAAGCGGCAATAATGGCGAAAGAGATAGAAAAACGACAAAAAGAATATATTGAGAAGCAGAAAATCAAACATAAACTGGAGTCTGGTAAGTGTAAGTTTCAATACATTACCATAAATATGACGTAAATTAGGGCTTATTTATAATTACAAGCCATAAAATAGATTGAAAAAAATATATAATATATATAAATAATAATAATAAATATAAAATATATATAATTTTCTTCCGAAATAATTAAAAAAAGTAATATGTTTTTATTCGTGGTAGATAAGAAGCAATCTGCCGACCGTTGTAGATAGATAGATAGATAGATAATTTATTTATATTACTTACAGCACACAAATTGCAATAAAAGAAACATACACATAATACACAGTAAAAGAGATAAAAGAATTAAAATAAAAAAGCACAAAACAAAAAAAAAAAAAAGACAAAATATATAAACTAACAATTTCTTTTCTTTCCTTTCCTTCATGCGTGTGCCATAGTAGCACAAAATGGTCACAACTCAGTTTATCGCTTTGCCCTTAAATTGTAAAGGGTCGTGCTTTAGACAGCTCCAGTATAAACTATTAAATAAAAAAAAATTCATAATAAGTTCAGTTATTCTCAGGTGACTATAGAAAAGATTTAAACGTAAAATTACGCAGAAAAGGAGTTTTTTTTTTATTATATCCAGGTATAATGTACTTAATACTAACCAACTATGTACATTCACCAGAGAAAGATTTTGTACAAAAGTCGTTTGGAATAGAATAGTCTTAGAATGGCAAACAAGCTGACGGCCCACCTGATGGAAAGTGTTAATCGTCGCCTATAGACATGAGCAGTATTGTGGACATAACAGAGTATACTGTTTCGCCCATGATATCCCCTGTATATTACTACTACTACTATACTGTACTGTACTGTATATTATTACTATTCCTGAGAACTCAGGTGTTATTCCTCTGTACCCTGTAAATTCACTACCATATCCCATCCTTCAAGCCGAAACACAGCCATGCAAACACAACTGCTTCACGGCAGAAACACGAATAGGATAGAGATGCCCAAACAAACGACTTTTGTATAAAGTTTCCCAGACTTACTTTAAACACATAATGATACCTTAATTAAAAAAAAAGAAACAATTATGATTGTTAAGAAATATATACTTGTTACCATATAATCTTTTGAAACTATATTTCATTTATTGTATTGTACAGTGCATACACCATTGAAGGCTCCGAGCACACCTGGACACCCATCCTCGCAGTACCAGATGGATCCAGTATACATGGCAGACGGTTTCCAGTACCTCAACTCGGATGAGGAGGCCGAGCCAGTCGAAAGGCCAATACCGGCCTGGTGCACCTCCAAGGTAACCCTAGACTTGAACACTTTTCTTAATAGATGAAAATGGAATGGTAACCCCACCTGTGCTATTGGTTTTTGCTAGTAGGGAGTGAACAATGATAGGCGAGGGGAAAGTCAAGTTGGCCTATTGTTGGAAGTGGATCAAATAATTCTGTAATAATTTTGATTACAGTAGAGGAAAAAATTAAAGGATCCAAAAAAATTCCAAATTTTTTGAGATTTTTTAAGTAGCTATATATCTCATAAAAATTATCGTATTGGAATTTAAAAAAAAAAAGGATTTTAAAGCTTAAAGTTTTTCATCCTTTTTTTTTGATCCCTTAATTTTTTCCTCTAGTCTATTTTAAGACTCATTACAGTTTTTCAAAATTATGTGGGTCTTAACATACTTTCAACCGATTTCAAAAAGAAACATGTTCTCATTTTGTTTTTTTTGCTTGTTACTTAACTTCGTAAGTTGTAAACCAAATTGTAATTCTTTTTTTTTATCTAAAAATAAATACCTATAGATTGGTTCCATAGTAATTTAAATTAAAAAAAAAATTTGTTTAAGTTTTAAATCGAAATAACTTGGTATAATCTTGGTATCGAAATAATGGTAACGCATGGGGGGTATCATGAGCGAAATAGTATACTCTGTTTTGTTTACGGTACGGCTCATGTCTATAAGCGATGGTTACCATTTTATCAGATGGATCGTCAGCTTGTTTGTCATTCTAAGTTGCATAAAAAAGCTTTTTGTTTTTAATATACTGGCAGCCCGTCCCAGCTTTGCACGGGTGGACATTTTTATAACATTTTAAAAGGTGGTTATTGTGATACATAGCAATCAATTAGACGATGTAAATTGTGCTATGTCTGCAATATTAAATTGGTTTACATGTAATAACCTATTATTAAATTCCAGCAAAACAAAGTGTATAAAATTTACACTTCCTAATGTAAGACTAATAAATACACAGTTATTGCTTAATGATGAAATAGTAAATTTTGTTAATGATACAGTTTTTTTAGGTATAACAGTGGACTCGAAATTACAATGGGGGCCCCATATTTCAAAATTGGCCAGTAGACTCAGTTCTGCTGCATATGCAATTAGAAGAATTAGACAATTAACAGACGTGGCAACGGCTAAACTTGTATATTTTAGTTATTTCCATAGCATAATGTCTTATGGCATACTGCTGTGGGGTAAAGCAGCCGATATAAATACTATATTTGTTTTACAAAAGAGAGCCATACGTTCTATTTATGGTATGGGTTCGAGAGAGTCATTGCGTCAGTGCTTTAAAGACTCAAATATCCTCACAGTTACTTCACAATACATTTATGAAAATATTATGTATACACGGAAGAACTTAGAGAGTTTTAAAAAACTCAAAGACTGTACAAGTAGAAACTTACGCAATATAAATAAGCTTATTTTACCTAAATGCCGTCTGCACAAAATCAGTAATTCATTCTATGGTAATTGCATAAGATTTTATAATAAACTGCCGGAATCTGCATTAAATCTGACAGAGAGGCAATTCAAATCTTATATTAAACAATTTTTATGTAAGAAAGCCTATTACAGGATAGACGAATTCATAGATGACAACATATCAAGTAAATAATTAGTTTATTAGCATACAACGTTATAATTTTATTTTCTCATTGCTTTCTTGATTTAATTGATTAATTTTAGAAATATGAAAGCGTAGCGGTTTTTTGTATTAATTGCCGCATGCATTCTTATGTAAAATGTGAATACTATAACTATCAGATGGCAATTGTGAGTAGCTTTGACGTGGTCTAGTGTTTTGAGTAGTCATGCTCACTAAATTGTCCAGACTTGTGGCGGCGTGGTGGGCCGGGTCATTGGGCTCCCTAAAATATGGTCGAGCGCAGTGATGGCTGGCTCATCCGTCATACTCGTGAACGGGTGCTGCTTGTAGGGACTGGTCTGCTCTAATCACTATGACTGATTTCCTCTTATTAATTGTTTAACCAGTTGGTTATGTATTCAATATTTTTTTTTTTTTGAGTATTTAATTGAATTAGTGCTAATTGGTGGTTTGTATTCACACAATTAAACTTGAAAATGTAAAGTAATAATAAAATTATTTAAAAGAGCAACACGCAAGTTTCTTGCTCGTTCTTCTTGTGATGAGACAGCTTTCCGAACGAGCGGTAGATTAAAAAAAAATGTAATGACTTTTCAAAAGTGCTTCAATGTAAGTTTATTTGAATAAATGATTTCTATTCTATTCTTATTCTATTCTTCTAACATAGCGATAATATAGTTGGACATAATGGTGTCGCGAAGTTTTTTGTAGTTATTGATATTTTCTCAAACATGCTTGGAAATGTGAGCATTATTTTGACAATCTTCTTCAAGATAAATCAAAATTGCCGTACTGGCCAGATACATGCGGGCAGCGGTCGGCAAAAGTTGTATGAAAATCCATATCTGTCGTGTTTTGCAGCCAGATAAATTACTATGTAAACTCATATCTGTCCTGTAATTTAAAAATGGAATGACCTTTTACTTTGACACATGGCTACCAAGGAGGTAACTAATAAAAGGTTTTATTTAAATTTTGAATTCGCTTACAGATAGAAAGTTGTTTATTGAAAAAAAAAAAACAAAGGAACATTATGGCGCGTGAAAAATTATTATTGTTGGTTATTCGTCATTAAACTTAAAAAGTAAAATTGTGTTTTTGATTTTCGCGCATTGTTTGAGAAAAGTACTATACAAGCCTTGGCCGCAACTAGGCATTGATGGACCCACGTATGTGTGCCTCGGATTCCCCTCGGCCCACATTCACACGTTTGTCCATCAATGCCTCTCTTGCCGGCCGCTGCAGTAATGTACTATTATAGCGTTTATTTTACACCTTGATTTACGTTACTAAAGTTGTAGGAGGGATCCCTAATCTTTTCTAGCAATAAATATAGCCTATGTTACTCGGGGTGAATGTAGCTTGCTAACGGTGAAAGAATTTTTCGGCAAAGTAGTTGTTGAGTTTATTGATTACAAACGTAGACACGTCGTGTCGTTGTGTGGCAGGCGCGGCGCGCGCAGCTGGCGGTGCAGGCGCGGCTGGCGGCGGCGGCGGTGGACGCGCTGTTCTCGGTGCGCGTGCACTGCCCCGACCTGCGCGCCATGTTCCCCGCCATCGAGCGCGCGCGGCTCAAGCGCACCTCCTCCGCCGTGTGGCGCACGCCGCCGCGCCTCGCCTCGCTCGCCTCACACGCCTCGCTCGCACAGTGACCGCGCACAGGTACCACACGCACGGGCACAGCTGGCGGCGGCGGCGGCGGCGGCGGCGGCGGCGGCGGCGGTCGACCTGCTCCACGGCACAGACGCGGCGCCTGCACGTTCACCAGAACTGCACCCTGCGACTGCGCAGGCGCTAGCAGATACGACAGAAATGACGTCGTAGCCCGAGAACTCGCGGTCCCTAGCGTGGACGAATTTGTCCGCCGACTGGCACGCGCTATGTTCAGTCGAACGGATAAGGGACCTATCATCCCTCAACGATCACACCCCTCTAGCAAATAACGTTCTTTTTTTTTAATAGATGATTATAGACTGGTAACCCCGCTTGCGCTATCAGGATACGCTGGTGAGACACCAGTGAGATGTAACAGGTGAGGATGAAAAAGCAAATCAATTAACCCATCGTGACGAATTCCACTAGAATTAATCACGTCAGTTTCTAAGAAGAACCGCGTGGAGAACAACCTGATAGGGTGTATTGCTAGCAATGGGTCAATTAAACCCCATTACTAACAATGCCAGCGTATAAAGTTAGTACAGGCGGGGTTACCATTCCATTATCGCCTACTAATTAACCCCATAAAACGCCACTGAAGCCTAACTGCAATTGCCAATCCATATACCAAGCGTGGCAAATACTGGCAAAATCCCCATGAGGAAAGCTTATACTCAGCAGTGAACAATTAACAACTGATATGACGATGATTAAATTCTATTTTTCTGACCCCATAAAAGCCATATAAGGCACTCTGAGATATATCTTTACACATAACTTAAACCTTCCCTTAGTTCCCGAGGTAGATACCAGACCAGACCAGACCATTTAGACCAGAGGGAGACTGTACAAAAGTCAATTGCTTGGGTACCTCTGTCCCATTCGTGTTTCAACCGTGAAGCAGTTGTGTTTGCATAGCTGTGTTTCGGTTTGAAGGGTGGGATATGGCGTGAATTTACAGGATACAGAGGAATAACACCTGAGTCCTCAGGAATGGCAACGCATGGGGAGTATCATGGGCGAAACAGTATACTCTGTTATGTCCATGATACTGCACATGTCTATAGGTGACGGTTACCACTTTCCATCAGGTGGGCCGTCAGCTTGTTTGCCATTCTAAGTTGTATAAAAAAAAAAATACCAAGCAAATCTAGCGAAAACACGTGTTCTTGAATAACTAACTCAAAATCTAGTGTATGTTTTATTTGTTACATTTTTAATATTCCATGATCATCATACCAACGGTTAACTGTCCATTGTCCATTAATATAGACTACACTATTTTTGCCAATAGTTGCCATGCTTGACAGATGAATTGACAACCGTAGAGTTTGATAATGTTTTAAAAGAGGCGCTGCTGCCCATCCCTCGACCAATAAGGTCCATTAGTCGCCTCTTACGACACCTACGGGAAAGGAAAGGTTGGTCCATTCTGTGCCGGGACCTACATAATTTTTAATATTCCATCCAGTTATGGTCTCTTACACTAGGTTTCTTGCTTCTGAAATCCTACGATATAGCGGGCTAAAAGCCAATTAACTATTTAACATTGTTTAAAATATTTGTTTCAGATTCGAAATATTACAAGTGGATCAAGATATCCCTGGTCGCTGGCGGCACAGTGTAAATATCTAATTATCACAATATAATGCATAAACGAGTATTAAACATACTATGTCGTCACTATACTAGTGACGACTCCGGGCCAACATTAACTAGATATTTGTAGCTAGAACTAAATGTAAATATAACAATGGCTCACTAGTTACTTTTATGCATTAAAATAAAAAATTTCAACACAAATATGTTTCTCTTCGCATATTTAAAAGGGGACTTTGTTGAAATTAATTAGAACTGTAGATTTTAATGCAACCATTGAAAAAAATAATGAAAAAAATTGTCAACGTTATTGTCTATGGCAAATGGACTTTATTGCCATATAGGTATTAAGAGGTTTGTTTGAATCAAAACATGTAATGTTCCATTGTGTCTGCCTACCCCCCTAATGGGTGACAGGCAGTGATAAATATATATGTATGTATTAATAATATCATATATGTAAAATATTAAACGAATTCAATAAATTTCAGTGTTTGCTTTTATATTTTAATAATATAAAAGTTTACATTTTCGTGTATTTGCAAAATTCGTGTTTAATAAACGAGAGAAAACTCGACTTTTTATAAAATATCCAGGTATCAATAAAATTTCATAAAAATGTAAATAAAGAAATAATTAAACCGACACTAACATAGTCCACTGATGTCCAATGAAAGTGCAGGTAAATAACTTTTTCTACAAAAAAAAACCTTCAACCAGTTATTTTGATTTAGAATTCAAACAGTAAATAATATAATAAATAAAAACAACAATTATTTTACACTATAGAAATAATATATGAAATGTTCTAACTAGATATATTGTTTGGCGATTGTTTAATATAGCTCAATACCTAGTTATTGATAGTGTTAATAATTTTCAAATACAAAATATTATATTAAATACGAGTGCATTAAAAATAGTAGTAATATATTAGTATAAATATATCAGCGTTATACAGGAATTTGAAATCGTTTGTGTCATTTTTAAAGGTATTGCAAGTGAAACTGAACATTTTCATAAAAGAAAAACAGGTTGAAAAACTATAAATAAAGCTTCCTGTTGTTAATATGGGAGTATAAAAACGACAATTTTTTTTTTTCTTTTTTTTTTTGTTTCACGAAATTTATATGCTAAGGAAGAGTAGATTAGTTTTATCAACTTTTATTGTAAACGATTTCACCTGTATATTGTTGTACTTGGTTAGGCGTTATTTTCACTGCGTGTGATTCTTAACCCTTAAAAGCCTGATTTTTTAAATCAAATTAAAAAATATATAAGTGTACCCTTTACTGTGTTTACTAATGGGGAAAAATAGTAAAAAAAAATCAAAACGATATTTTTATATATTTATTTTGAAAAAAAAAAAAACATTTGGTAACATGTAAACAGCCAAACATTAAAATAAAATCGATTGTAGGCGCCCAATGCGATTTATAACCCCGTTATCAAATTTGAAACTTCAGGTATTTAAGGGTTAATTGGTCTAATTATTCAGCTTAATTTTTCCTCGATATACATTTTATTCAAAGTTGCCTTTTCCATATTTTAAGGGGTAAATTGTCAAGATCATGTAGTTTTGTGTATTGCTAACATCACGATTGTTTTGTGACTTGTTCACGTGTTTTAGATTAATTTTTAACTGTAAGACTGTTATAATATATCGACAATAAGTTAGTAATAAAATTTTACAAGGAGTATTAATTTGTTTTTATTTATTATAATTTTACCATATTGCATCCATACTGCAACCTATGTAAGGTTACATTAGTTGACATATTTTTGTAGTAAAGTCGATGAAGTTTCAGAATATTCGTTTTTGGCAGGGTTGCCCGATAACATTTTTTATTTTTTACCTAAAAGTCATATATTGTGTCTCCAAATGATACGATTTTCATAATTTTTACTCAATTACAAACTTGGGTCAGCTTGCAATATGTTCTGCCATGTAATCAAAAAGAGAATCATGTAAAAAAGCCCTTTACCATGCCTGAACTATTGTTTTGCTACTATCAGTACATTGGTACGCTTCACAAATACAAAAACTATTATAGGAAAATTTATAATTTATTACCAGATACCCAGATTTCTCCTAGCCAATTTCAAGAATGTCATTCCTCCAAAATTTCGCGAATTAAAAAATGTTTACTGAATAAACTACAAAAAAAGTACCTTATTATTTGATGATCTTTTTTATTGAAATTTCAGTTATCTACAAAACCCGTGGAACTTAATTTCATCGCTTGTATTTTATCTAAGTTAGTATTTTATATAAGAAAAAAATCCAAAATTCCCATTCCTTCCCCCAAGGTCATTTACGGTCAACAGTGGACAGTTAACGGCTGATACTTTTTACAACACAGGGGGCAAACGAGCATGCGGCTCACCTGATGGTAAGTGACTACCGCCGCCCATGATCACCCACAACACCAGCGGCATTGCAGGTGTGCTGCCGGCCTTCTAAGATGATGGTGATATAACATTCTGAATGTTTTTAAAGAGTAAATATTTGTTTTATTGTGAACAATTTAAAAAAGACATACAAGACATTTAATTAATCTCCACCCGCGACTTTGCGTGACCGAGATAAAAAGTACCCAATACTGTATATCAAATTTCGTGAAGAATACTCGAACCGTTAAAATACCAATTTTAACATTTACAATATTAGTAAGGATGACACGTTAGTCGAAAATAAAACAAAATGGGATATCTAAACAAAACCTTTATTGCTAACCACCACTGTATACCTTACATAACGTATTTCCAAACCATCGGAATCGAACGAGTGTCCCAGAGCATCGGTAAAAGGTGTTCAAGCCAGTGAGCGATAAATGCGTGTTTTTACGGATAAACTACGAACACTCATTTGGGAATGTCGGCACAGTATTATACATTTCCTATTGATTGCGTTAGAACGGCAGTAATAAATATATTAATGAACAGAGATAAAAAACCATGTTATTTATATGGTTTTAAATCATAAATACATGTTCCCATCACGGGAAATAAATACCAAAAGTTTTACGATCGATTAAGTGGGGTTGAATATTGAATTGTGATAAATAAATAATGCTTTAATCCAAAGCAGCGGCACCGGAGATGATCTCAATGAGCTCCCTGGTGATCACGGCCTGTCGAGTCCTGTTGAATGTGAGAGTCAGTTTATCGATCATCTCTCCGGCGTTCTTGGAAGCGTTGTCCATAGCGGTCATCCGAGCAGACTGCTCGGAGCAAGCGCCCTCTTTCAGAGCATAGAACAACATCGAGGCGAGAGAGAACTCCATGTAGGACTGGATGACCTCGGAGTCCAAAGAGTCGTAAGTCGCCAGCTTTGGGGCGGACTGAAATTGAAATATAAAAACTTGTTAACTAATTGATGGTTGCCATATTTTTTTTTATGGGTGAAAATGGTATGGTAGCCCTGCCTGCGCTAACGGGATACGCTGGCGGAGCCCCAGTGAACGGTGATAGATGAGAATGAAAACAGGCCACTTAGCCCATCATGATGAATTCATCAGGAATTAAACATGATAGTCTCCAGGGGGAGCCGTGAGGAGGTCGACCTGGTTGGGTATATTGCTAGCAATGAGATTCTCAGTCTCCACTACTAACAATCCCTTTCCCCCCTGGTTGCCATATTAGATAAGGTTAATAAGTTTGTGATCTAATGAATGTTTTAATTTGAATTCATACAAATTTGCTTTCTTATTAAAATATTTAATAAATACTACTAGACACATTACACAGCTTTATCTAAACCTAAATTGAGCAAAGCTTGTAGGTACTGGACATTTGGTAAAAATACTTTTTTTTTAATATTTATAATACAAACAAACACTCATGTACATATTTGTATTGTACAGGGCTCGAACCTGCAACCACCAAGGTCTCAATTATTACCAATTTGTGATGCATCAATACCTCATCTACACTGGGTATTCCTACAATATCTATAATAATTTTATAATTGGCAGGGTTTTTAAAGAAGAAATAAAAATGTGACCTCCAAGATTTCATAATAGGTCCCATTTTTATATATTGTCATATCATATCTAGGTAATTATAAGATTTCGACAATACAAATGTTGTAGTCACCTGAACAGACTTCTGGCTGAAGAGCGGCAGGTTGGACTGCTCATACGACACGACAGACTTGAACTTGTTGTAAACGATCTTGCCATAACCGAATTCGTAGCCAGACGACAAGATGGCGGACGCAATCTTCGCGGCATCAGTGAAAGTGGGCGGCAAACGACCAATCTATAAAACATTTGAAATTGCAAATTATTTGATTATGTTTTGTCAACTTGACCACAGGTCACCTGATCTGACATTACGTCATCAAATGAAGCAAGTTTTCAGTATTTTGTTTTAATTTTTTTTTTTTTTTTTTATGTTGAAGCAATTAAAAACGGACATAAAGGTAGAAGAAACAAATAAACAATACAAAAGCAAAAGGATGCAAGGATTGGAGAAGGCCTACTACTAACATATAGCAATCATATCTTATTGCTGTCTGATAGACTCAAGTCTCTAGAACCAATATAGATAAGTTATAAAAGTAGATAAAGAACTGTGTTTGTACTGTACTTTGCCGACATTCCCAAATGAGTGTTCGTAATTTATTCATAAAAACAAGCATTTCTGATAGAGGGTTTTGGCACGTAGTTCTTATACTAAGCTATCACTAAGCATCTCATGCTTAGTAGGTATTGTTGATATATTAATTATAATTTAACTAGTACAATTTATATTAAACTAGTTTAAAAAAAAAAGTTAATTGTATTGTGATTTATGTACATGAAGATAAATAGAAACTGTGTGCACCCGAAAGACAAATTATAATTATTTAAGATTTCAAAGAATTCATTGATTTAATTTTTTACAACATGTGTGTAGACTGAATAACGGTCGGAGATTGATAACTAATAGGAAAAGCTGTCGAGCCTCTACTAATAATAGTCAATCCTCAAAAGGTGGCAGTTAAACAAAATAATACAAGTTTTAATACAGTTTTTAAACATTTTTCAAGTGATAGGGCTGGCATACCTCGTTGGCGACGCAGATGATGTGCTTGCCGTAGAGCCGCTGCAGGATGGCGCGCGACTTGTCCCCGACGCAGATGACCTTGATGTTCTCGGCGCCGGGCTCGCTGAGCCGCGTACGGATCACCTTGGACACACCAGTGTGTACCGCGCCGCACAGACCTGGCACAACACAAGGAGGGGGGGGGGGGGGGGGGGTGAGTAAAGCGGACTACCAGTCTCATTGCTAGAAATATACCCTATCAATTCTACCCCCACGTGGTCCCCGCCTGGAAACCATCATGCTGAATTCCAGGTGTATTAATCTCGATGGGCCAACTAACCCGCCTTTTCATCCTCACCTGTCATTACCTCACTGGTGCCCCGCCAGTGGATACCGTTAGCGCGGGCGATGCTATCATTCCATTATTGTCCATAAAAAAACACATGACACGCCACAAGTCGCAAACATTTTATTTAACGAATTAAACGTTATTTCAGTAACACACAATATTTACAGATTACTAGTAACAATAACTTAAGTATAACCTAAGCAAAAGTTTACACAACATACTACATTAGATTACTACATTACTATTTTATATTAAGAGGGATATTCTCTAAAATTATCTCAATGAAATTTTCAATTTAATATCACAGCGAAATCTGTATTTTAAGGACTAATATGAACTAAACTTCCTAGTTGATTTAAGTCGAAATTATTACAAATTTAGTTTATGACGGTCTAGAAAATAGTAATTTCGTGAAACTATAAAATTTAAAATAGGTTTAGAGAAATGGCGTATCAGGATCGACCCCAATATCTGCAAACTTTTGAACCTTTCAATTGAATTTCGAACAGTGTCATGGAAATGAAAAAGAATACTAATTCAGCTTGAAGTTCCTGTAAAAGTAGCAATATTTAATTCTCTATTGTTTCTTTTTATTTTTAATCAGCATCCACTAATAGTCTATGAATCTATATATTTGATTTTCGACCTTGACACCTTAAAGGATATGCTCTATTCATTATCAATAAAAAAAAGGGGGTCGCAAGAACGGCAGCCATTTTTAATTTGTAGTCGAAGTTACATCTTAAAAATTTATAACTGATAGCTTACAATGTTGCATTTGTCAATTCAAATTAAATTCAATTCAAATTCAAAAATCATTTATTCATGTAGGACATTTTAGCCGCTTATGAACGTCAAATTTTTACATTATAATTTTATATTTTCCCTACCGTCCAGTTCGGTATATAGATCCAATTGAGAAGAACTGGCAAGAAACTCAATTGAATTACTTTTTTTTTTTTTTAAAGCCAGTTTATTTACAATGTATATTTATATAGGTGTCTATGTCTAACATTAAATGAAAATTCAGTGCATGAACAACTATTGCCATGCACACTCGTCATTCAAGTAATCGTTTAGTGAGTAATAGGCTTTGCTCAGTAAATATGATTTAACAGATGTTTTGAATTTATTTAAGGGTAATTCCAACATATCCTTTGGTATCTTATTGTAAATTTTTATACCTATTCCCATAAAAGACCTATTAACTTTTTCTAAACGATACTTGGGGACAGCAAGTTTGTCTTTAAATCTAGTATTAATATTATGAATATTGCTGTTTTTTGGAAATAAGTCAAGATTTTTATGAACATATAGAATATTTGAATATATAAATTGAGAAGCAACGGTGAGAATATTTGCCTCTTTGAATTTCTCTCTTAATGAGTCACGACTCTTCATACAGTAGATCGCTCGAACGGCACGTTTTTGTAATATGAATATATTCTTAATATCTGCCGCTTTTCCCCATAGTAATATTCCATAAGAGAGTAAACTATGAAAATAACTAAAATAGACTAATCTAGCAGTATCAGTATCAGTGTACTGTCTAACTTTACGCACGGCAAAAGCTGCTGAACTTAGTTTCGCTGCAAGGCTTTGAATTTGTGCACCCCATTGTGTTTTATTATCTAGTGTGATTCCTAGAAAGACAGTAGATTCTATAAATTCCAGAGATTCGTCATTTAATTTAATATTGCAATTAGTATTAAAAATTTTAGATAGAGAGAAATTAACACATTTTGTTTTTTTAGCGTTTAACATAAGATTGTTAGTTGTAAACCAGTGCAGGAGACGCCGCAAAGCACTATTTACATCGTCATAATTATTAGTCATTCTATTAACTTTAAAAATCAATGAAGTATCGTCTGCAAACAATACTATGCCGCATCTATCCTGCATGGCATATGGGAGATCATTAATGTAAACTAGGAATAAAAATGGACCGAGAATAGATCCTTGAGGTACACCCATTTGCACAAGTGACCCGTCAGACGTAGCGTTGCTAATCTTCACTTTCTGTATTCTATCAGATAGATAAGATTTTATTAAATTTAAAGCATTGTCTTTGACGCCATAAAAAGCAAGTTTTTTTAGCAATGTATTATGATCAACGCAATCAAAAGCCTTAGAAAGGTCACAAAAAACACCTATCACATCCATTTTAGTTTCCCATGCAGCAAATACGTGTCTAAGCAACTCTGCACCTGCGTCTGTAGTTGAACGACCTTTGGAAAAACCGAATTGACTATTGTGGATTAAATTATTTAAATTGAAATAACTGACAAGTTGCATTAGGATTATTTTTTCAAAAATTTTACTGAGTGCTGGGAGTATGGATATAGGTCTATAATTTATTGGGTCACTCCTATCTCCAGATTTAAAAAGCGGTATGATTTTACTAATTTTCATTATGTTAGGAAATTTACCTTCATCTATACATTTATTGAAAATAAAAGCAAGAGAGGGCGCAATAATTTCCATTATACTATCCAGTATTTTAACAGATATACCCCATAGATCCTCTGTTTTTTTATTATTAAGTTGTTTGAATATTTTCATTATTTCTACTGATGATGTATGTCTAAAGTTAAATACAGCTGATGACTTGCTAACATTGTCTGTTAGTAAAGTTTCAGCAGCAGACGGGGAAGATTTTAGAGCCTGTGTCGTAATTAATGGAATATTAGTAAAATAAGATTCGAATGTATGCGCGACCTCTGTGTCGGAATTTACCAATTTGTTATTAATATTTAAAGCTATTTTGCTGTTTTGAAAATTAACTTTTCCAGTTTCGCTATTTATTACTTTCCAAGTGGCTTTTATTTTATCTTTAGATTTAGTTATTATTTTACCTAAATAGAGAGACTTAGCTGTATGACATAATAAATATGTCAAAGTAGACTTATGATGATTGTAGATAATATTTATGATTTAAGAGAAAATAGTTAAAAAAAAAAAAACAAAAAAATGTACACTTCAGTGTAACAATTGGAAAAATGTTGGTTTAGCTACTCCCCTTTTTAATCTTTTATTCTCCCACTTTATGTTTTCCCCTACAAACTCTAATGATTGGCAGTAGAATCCCTTTTTCAACACATCACCAAAACTTAACTGTAGTTGCCAACCTACCTGTCAAGTATGACAACTACTGGCAAAACTCTCCTTATGAGGTAAGGCTTGTGTTTAGCAATGGACAGTTAAAGGCCGATATGATTGTATTATACCTATATAATTGTAACTAGTTTTAAAATATAATACATTTACCTCTGTCAGAAGTCATAGCAATGTACAATTGCTTGTTTTCGTCTTCTGGAGGGGTTACCTGTTAAAAACAATACCAACTTTACTATAAGTCTGAACTATGATATCCACGTTAGATAAATGCACTAATATAACCATAAACATAAATATAGTGAACTACCTTAACCTTTAAATATATTTAAAAATATATAATAAATACTATTTTTTTTTTATTCTAATTTTTATTAAGGTTTATGCACCTAGGTGATTATGCCAGCTACATAGGCTAGATAGACAGATACTGTGAAACTGAAAGTGGTAACAGTACACACACATACTGTTACGCCCATGATACCCCCCATACGTTGCCATTTCTGAGGACTCAGGTGTTATTCCTCCGTACCCAGTAAATTCACGCCATATCCCACCCTTCAAACCGAAACACAGCTATGCAAACACAACTGCTTTACGGTTGAAACACGAATGGGACAGAGGTACCCAAGCAATCGACTTTTATACAAACTCTCCCTGTGTATATAAAGTTTGTTGTGTCAGTTAGAATAAAATAACTAACTTTTTTTTATTCTAATCTTTATTGATTTGAAACTTCAGTGCACGTAGATGACTGTTGCAGTCTCATAGGAAATATCTATGCAGGCATGTAAGTAAATATAGTCATATCAATTAGTCAGGATAAAATTATTATCAATTGCATGCAACCTCCTACTCCACTAAGCAACAGTGTTAAGATAAAAAATATACTACAATCTTAAGTTTAATCTTCAAGGATACATCTATGAACACAGCATCCAATATGATGCAGTAATTTTTTACATAAGACTTGAGAAACATACAGATAAAACCACATTTTTTTTAATAGTATTAAGCTCTCATAAACCTTTCATTTAGATTTTTCTATATGTATAGATTACCTCAGCCCTCTCGTAAAATTGGACAGCACCCTCTCCGTAGGGGCGGGCTGCCTTCAGCTCACGCTCAGCACGAGTGTACCTAATTACAGTAAAATTAATTATTGTCACTGGGCGTCGTAAAAAACAAGTAAGACTTACCCCCTTAACATAAGACTAAAGCCTAAATGTAGTTGCCAACTCACCTGCCAAGCATGACAACTATTGGCCCCCTCAAGGAGCCTCTGAGGCCTATGCAGTTTAGCAGTGGTTGATAGAATGAAAATTAATAATTACATAGACAGTAAACAAGACAATTGAGCCTTAATGGTTTGATAAAGTGGTTTTTTTTTATGGGTGAAAATGGTATGGTAAGGTGGGGGCCTGCGCTAACGGGATGCGCTGGTGGAGCACCAGTGAAGGGTGATAGATAAGAATGAAAACAGGCCAGTTAGCCCATCATGATGAATTCATCAGGAATTAACCATGATAGTTTCCAGTAAGAACCGCGAGGAGGTCGACTTGGTTGGGTATATTGCTAGCAATAAAATTCTCAGTCTCCATTACTAACAATCCCTTTCCCCCCTTGATAAAGTGGTTTGAACAATGGAGATAGATTTTACTGGAGACAAAATTTCCCTTTGTTTGCCTGAACTTATAGTGCTTTTTTTTTAAATACACAGACAATGCACAGATGATTGTTTCATAGTAGATATAATTGACAATTGATGAACATCATATCAATATTTTATAGCCCAGATACCATGTGCAGGTCCCTGCATAGAATGGGCCAACCTTTCCATTCCCATGGGTGTCTTTAGAGGTGACTAAGGGAACTTAATGGTAAAGGGATCGACAGCAGTGTTCCGCTTAAAATATCACTAAAGAGCTAACTGCAGTTGCCAACCCAGCTGCCAAGTATGGCAACTACTGGCAAAACTCTACTTCTGGGGAAGGCTTATGTTCAGCAGTGGATGGTTAAGGGCTGATATGATGATGATGAATGAAGAATCAGTACAGTATCTATTTCCAAAAGACTATTTTGTGACTTGCTTTACTTACTAAAATTTTTCCTATTAATAGAGAAGTTATCATAGACAAGATCTGTTAGTGTACCAGAATGACAAAATATTCTAAAGAAATCTAGGAAAGCTGATAAATTTAGAGCCTGCTTTATATTGTATAGAAGCTAAATTATTATTATGGGTAAGTTGATATATTTCACAAATAAAACCTAATTTTAAAAAAAAAAACTATCAAAACTAGAATGAATTCGACAAGAATTAAATTCTTCTTATATTAAAACATTTAATGTTCAAAAGTGATTCACAAATAGATCAATGGGTAGCTAGAGGAAGGTGTCGCACGACACATATATATATAAAAAAAAGTAAGGCTAATATGAAGAACTCTTTTTGAAATTGGTTAAAAATTTGTGACATTGACCACAATTTTTACATTAAATATGCAAGTGTTGTAATAACTTACTTGGCAGCTGACACCATCTTCATGGACTGGGTAATCTTCTGAATATTCTTTACTGACTTTAGACGAATGGAAATGGACTTTAGAGTCGCCATATTCCTATTTTGCTGTAGGTTGACCACAGCGGTCACCTGGGCGGCGGCTGGCGCTACGCGACCCAACATCTTCGCGGTTCTGTAATAAAAAATTTAAATAGAAAAATAAAAGATTACACAGGTTATGTCCTTAGAGTTCCAAGTTATGTAAGAAGGTTCCACACAGTGTCATTCAACACAGACTTAATTTTACAATACTATACTGACACAAAACTCTTGAACACTACAAATGAATCAATAAAATTATTATAATGTGATTAATTATCCCAAAATACTAACTTTAATTGGGTTTTTTGGTCAAGATCACCAGCCGACGAAAAATGTCGCTGGTCGAAAACGAAACGTCTAATCTAGTAGGGATGTCAGCAACAAAAATAAAATTGGATACGCCTAGAAGGCACCTATGTTAACTTGTACTAAAATTAATAACAAATTATTAAAAAATAAAAAATAAATGAATTAAATACTAAAATTAATATCAAGCAATAAATTTGCTTTCTTTTTATTTTCTCAAAACAATAAATTGAATTTAATGAAGTTTGTTACAATTTCATATTCTACATCTAAGTTCGCTTTCTAAAATGACATATGTGACATTAGCAGATAATTGACATTGACAGTAATTACTATTTACCTATATGAATCATATTCTACCTAAATTTTAAACACATAATACTATTTTGTTAATTGCATTCGCTACAAAATAGCTAAATAGTAATATTACTCGTCTGAAGACCATAAACAGTAATCAAACCCACCGGAAATAACTTGTGAATATTGTGAGAATACTGCGCTACCATACCTAGAATAATACTTTAATTTCCTCATAAATCTACAAAACCACAATGCCTACACCAGAGAAGAATGTTCTAAGTAATCCGGAGCAAATTCAGGAGCAACCCGTACGGGAAATAACACAAACTGATCATTTAAACAAAAAGCTATTGACTTCCTTGTTTAACCGAATGAATGAAGTTGACGGTGGCGGAAACTCGTTACTGGCCAAGATGTTGGAGCCGGACCCGGAGGAAGCAGAATGGGAAGACAGGGAAGGAGATAATTCACAAAAGTGATATTGTATTTTTAAGTCTGTGGAGTAAACATACTAAATTAAAAATGAAACTGATACCTTTTCACTAAAGTGATAAAATTTTTTAATAAAATAACCATACTGAAAACATACCAATAATGGTTGACTGGTAGAGAACACCATCCACTGTTAAATCCGCGAAATGTACATACAATTTCACTGTGCATTAAAGTTCGAATAAATACATTTATTCATTTTACAGTTATAGCTGTAATACAAAAAGTTTCTTATTTAAAGACACTAAAGTAATCCTATCATAGTTTGTAATGAAATCTTTTTAAATAAAACATATTAACATAGTAAGTGATACATCCTAAACATTTATCAATATTAATGTAATGCCCATAAAGACCAAGGACATAAAAAATAACTGATTATTTGTAATTTAAACAGTCACACTGTTTTGACATAAAAAACAGCTTTAACTTCTTTGAAGAATTAAAATTTTTACAATATTTTCTTCTACATATTTTTGAATACTTTTTTTTATTGTAAATTTATGGCTTTTTTTTAGCTAAAACATTATGGCTCACTAAAAATATCAGTAATGGACATCTTAATAAGTATTACTTTAATCTGAGTGGTGTCTATAAGGTGTAATATTGGATAAGTTAATATATTGAAATATACTTTTTTACAACACGTTCTTTTTTATGTATATTCTCTATTTTTATTATCCACAGATTATCAACTGTCTTCTTTTTGGAAATATTTACAATCGATAATAATCATAATTTTAAGTAATAAAAAATGGGAATATGGAATTTCATGGCTGGATATTTTAAAGACCTTTTAGTTACAAGTTTTTAATTATAATTTTTACAAATATTTACTGCCCACATCAAATTAAAAATTCGTGCAGTAGAAAAAGTGTGCTAACAAAAACCTGATTATGCATTTTGACAGTAAAATGGCAAACCCACTTACATTATTGATATATACTGGGCGGGTACCCATGAGTGCTGATAGATGATGATGAAGCTGGTCATTTGGCCCATCTTACTAGTTTTAAATTAATGTTATTTGGTCAATGTGCTACAGCTGAATGTTACAATTTTTAGATGAATATCAGACAGGATTGTATGCTTGAATGTGAGGATGAAGGCAGGTCAGTAAAGGATGGACACACCTGCCTGATATGTTTTAGTACACAAACATGAGCACCAGTGGAAGATAAAATGACGAGTATGAAGGTAGATCAATTAGCTCATCGTGTCTAATTCATGCAAATTAACTGATGGTTTTTAAATCGGATCATATGGAAGTCTTCCTTGTAATGAATTAATTTTCAATTAAATTCTTCCTTGAATACTTAATAATTCGTAATTAGTAGGAATGGGGCCTGACATCCTCATTACTGATAGTCCCTTCCCCCCTGTTCTCTATGAATGAATGGTTACCAGAGGGAGACTGTACAAAAGTCAATTGCTTGGATACCTCTGTCTCATTCGTGTTTCTACCGTGAAGCAGTTGTGTTTGCATGGTTGTGTTTCGGTTTGAACAGTGGGATATAGCGTGAAATTACTGGCTACAGAGGAATAACACCTGAGTCCTCAGGAATGGCAACGCATGGGGGGTATCATGGGCGAAACAATATACTCTGTTATGTCCATGGTACTGCTCATGTCTATAGGCGACGGTTACCACTTTCCATCAAGTGGACCGTCAGCTTGTTTGCCATTCTAAGTTGTATAAAAAAAACAGTTTAATAACTCTAAAAAAGAATCATAAAACTTCTCTGTCAGCTAAACTCGATTGGGGCAGTGAAATGATACTATCACAAACAGTAACTTGAATAATATTTTTATTATGTACTACACGAGTTTATAATGAGGAATGTGATTATTTACATAGCTTTTTCAACTCCAATATATTTCATTTGTTGAACATTTATATTACAGATTTTTACGGATATAATACTAAACTATTACAGCGACGCAACACCATTTAATACTGAACAAAATTGTTGCGTACCCGTTTTGTTCATAACAAAATTAAGTCCAAGCTTTGATTCGCCAAATTATTGCATTTCAACAACTATTCTCAATGGCATCTTATCAATAAATAACATACATAAAATAGGACATTGTAATCCTAATATTAACAACCTGCATCAAATTTAATAAACACAAAGAAAACTTGATTTTTTTTTTAATGTCATAATATAACAGCTATATTATCTGTACATAAAAGTGTATGTATATTTTACATGGGGACCGATAGAATTAACATTTGTGTAATGTCAGCAGATATGTGAAATAAAATAATTGTACAATTGATTGCGAGTGTATTTAGACCAAACACTGGGTGGTCGAGACGGTGTCCGCTGCGCAACCTCGTAGCAATAAACCTGCAATCAAATATTCAATATATATAAATATCTATTTAGATACCATAAATAAATAAAAAAAAAGGGTCGAAAACACGCTCTTGAAATCCTTGATGTTACAGGTATCCATAGAGTACAGTAAGCCCGTTCACCATTACACAGGTTATATGCTTGTTTGCCATATCAGTTATATAAAAAAAAGCACTGGGTATAATACACAGCGTCACCTAGGGGGGGGGGGGGGAATAGCAATATCATTATGGAAAACAATCTTATTTTATTAAATAATCAAACAGAAACACAACTGTATAGATTAAAAAATTTATACCTTTACCTAATATTAGCACGGCGTGTTGCCTATATTTAGGCATTCTTCTCTATCATGTCAATGTTGATCTTATAAAACACATATGGGTAGTACTCCGAGGAACCGAACCCGAGACCCGCCAGCTCCGCGCTCTGTGGACAACACAGCAAAATATTAAAAAAAAAAAAAAAAAAAAACGATATTTTGATGTGAAACCAACTACTTCCTACAATGAAAATTGGCAGAGAATTTCCAATAATGGTATGATCCTTTGGAAATAATATGCCCTGTCAATCTCTATGCCGTTCCCTTAGAATCCATGATCCCTTCGCTATCGGTATACGCTGGCCTGATCTTTTTTAATGGGTGATAATGCAACGGTAACCCCACCCGCGCTATCGGTATACACCGACGGGGCACCAGTGAAGGATGATAGGTGAGGATGAAGCAGGTCAGTTAACCCATCGTGACGAATTCAACAAGAATTGTTCACGATGGTTTCCAGGGGGAATCACGTGGAGGTCGACCTAATAGGGCATATTGCTAGCAATGGCGCTGTTAAACTCCATTACTAATAATCCCTTTCCCCCCACTGGCCTGGCCTGCTTTCACCCCCAACAGTAAGATCACCACTCACCAGTGAGAATAAAAGCAGCCCTGCCAGCGTATACCGTTAGCGCAGACGGGATGACCATTCCATTATCATCCATTTAAAAAATCCCTCCCCCTCTATAGTGGGACAATGGTATCCGAGTCGACTACTTTTTTTAGTTTTCTCTGTTAAATTATGTGAAGTACTGACGTCCTGTGCGTTGGAGCCGTGCTGCTGCGCGGAGTGGTCGAGGTGTGCGTACAGCTGCTGCAGCACGTCGCGCAGCTTCTTGATGCTCTTGCGAGACGGCACCATCACCACCGCTTGGAAGTTCACCGGCAGACCGTATCTGAAATATATGTTATTTTTTACTATACTGTGTCACGGCATATAATCTCCTTCCTACTTGTATATTATACATTTTTTATAATCATTTATTTATTTAACTCTTTATTGCACCATAAACAAAAATATACAATGACAATTGAATAATTCAAGTGAAATACTGTAACATAAATACGGATTGAAATATATACATAAAGGTACAAAAGGCGGTCTTATCGCTAGGGCGATCTCTTACAGACAAGCTTTGGTTAAAGGAGAAAAGATAGAAGTGGGCAGGTGGCGCAAGAGTGAATTAATAAATTTTTCATGCATAAAATATATTTTTTTTTAAATAGACTTCAATTGAGCAGAAGACGGTAGACGCTTCTTATTTGTATACTATTGCTTTTTGTTTGTTTTGTTCTTGTTTTGTATGCTACTGTGTGAGTCGTATGATACTTTGAATAAATTCTTTTTGTCTTTGATCATAATTAACCTACTACAGTCCACTGCTAGACATAGATAGATAGATAGATACACTTTATTGTTTCCTCCAAAAGATTACAATAGTAAACTTATTATAAAAACAAAACAATTACAAGAAATAATCACAATGAGAAAACAATGGGTGATCTTATCGCATATATATATTATGGGGACATAGGCATCCCCTATGGCACTGAGCACTATTTTTGACTCTTCACTGCCAGGTTTTACCCCCAATCTTATAATCACCCGACATATACATCGCTTTTTTTATTAGAATGATAAACAAGTTGACGATTTTAAAACTTCCTTCTTTGAAATCGCTTAAAAATTACTTATACTCTATTCTATAAGCTATATGCTCGCTACTTCGTACGCGCGGATTTTAGAAGCAGGAACACCAATGAAATAAAACATATACCAGAAGTTACACTTTCAAAAATAAAGAAAAGAAAACTTCATACAATTTGATGCAATAAGTTTTTGTGTAATGCTTGAACAAAGATACAGACAGAAAGGCAAAACTTTCAAATTTTTGTATATTTGTATATTTTATAATTATGTAATTTGTAAAAATTAAGTAAATATATAATTGTTTCTTAAATATCTCCCATGTACGGATATAGTTCTGTTACAATTGTATTATATTAAAAAGATTTACCTTAGAACGGATTCAACGAATACACGCAGCGCCTTGACGTGTATCCAGGCGCAGAAGCACTCAGAGAAGTTCACCTTCAACCATCGCACTAGCGGACCCTGTTGAATGTTATTAAAAAGAATCATAACTGAGAGCTCTTACACCAAAGTTTTACTGGTCAATTAATTAGAGTTATTTTATTTAATTCCGCTACCATTAGTGTGCTTGTAACTGACAACGCTCGAAGATTGATTACTATTATTATTACCACAAGTTCTACAACCCTCTATATTAATCACCAATCGCCGACCGCCATGCCGTCCACGCACGTTTTGCGACACTTTTTTTCTAAACCGTGCTGTTGGCCACAGATTGCCTTCACCGAATGCTATTTGTTTTGCGACATGTGTTTCACCTCTTAACGAGGCATCTTCAGGCTAATTAATAGATCGCTGCTTCGGAGCCTAGTGTTAACCGTTCGGCGTTCAAACAGCGAATGACTCATTTCCAAAATTTTTAGTCTAATATGTCTATCTCTTTTATACAAACTCGACCATGCTAGTAAAGCTGTGTTAATTTTCTTTTTTTTTTTTTTTAATTTAATTATATTTAACTAATTTGAAACATTCTTTCATATATAGAAAACTGGAATTATTAGAGAGGAACAAACAACAATGTATTTAATTTTTAAAGAAGACTGTGCAAAGCCAGGTCTAGTCGCTAGTATTACTTAACTTCGCAAACAGGACATGAACCATCTTATCATTAATGGCTAGGTAAAAATAAATCGGCTATACTCACAAACTGCTTCTTCTTGTCGGTGACCAGCTTGGTGATCTCGTTCTTGCCGGCGACGAGGTCCGCCTCGTTGTACGAGAACTCGCGTACGACGAACTTGCGTTCGCGCGCGTGCAGCTTGAACTCGTCCGCC